TGATTTTAGACACTATTGATAACGGCGGTTGGATAGCAAATTTAAGCAAAGGTAGAATAGAAGAACTCAAGACAGGTTTTAAGGGTGAAGGTAAGAAATAAAAATATAAATAACAATAATAATGATAATATTAACTAAAAATATACTGAAAAGAAAGAAGCAGAAGTTCAATGATAATTATGATCACGACGACAGTTTTTCAATACATAACCTAACAAAACCAAACACACCAACAACAATACAACCACCGAAAATGATGAAAAAAGGCATACCGAGAGAATTTATTGACATTGCAACCAATACAGATACAATTGCAACAGAAACCAGAGAGACGCAAGAAAAGTTATACAATGATGCAAATCAGCAATTAAATATGACATTTGAAGCGTTTAAGGTAAAGGAAAACCAAGACAATATGTTTAAAATAATGCTTAAAAACTTTTGGCACAACGCATACAAAAGACATGAACCAACAAGAACGCAAGCAACACAAACCCTGAAAAACCAACGCGACGCAATGGTGTCAGCCTTTACTACAATGCTTGACAACAACAAACCGCCAGAACCACCGCCAAAGAAACCACCAGACGAGGAGGACAGCGATGAAGAAGAAAAAAGATTCAAACTGACAAAAATGATAGAAATAATGCTACACAACGGCGCTACAGTAGCAGATATAATATTAAACTTATCACATAGCGCAATTGCAACAACAATAAATATCGCAGATTTAGTTAATCAAATAACAGCAGGAAATGCACAAGGTAGCAGTAGTTCTTCTAATGAAATTGTTAGTGTTCATAGTTCTCCACCTATTACTGTTCATAGTTCTTCATCTGAAAGTCCAACAGAAATACCAGCACCAACTGAAGACGAAGAAGAAGAAGACGGAGAAGAAAAACAAAAATATAATTTTGAAAAATTAAAATCTAAATAATATTATATATAATGGGTGCTTTTCAAAGTAAAAATAATGAAAATAATAGTTTGGAAGACATTAAGGTTTTAAGTATAGATGAAAAAACACGAGCAGACACTTTAATTATTAAATCTCTTCAAGAATGTGTGGCACGAATTGAGAAATTAGAAAAAGAAAAATCGGACAAATTAATATAAATTACCTGTTCAATTATGTAATTATTCATTCTTTTAAATTGATAATATTAACATACAGTAATATTATTAATTACTATCATAATCTGTCATTTCACTTTCGGGTAATTTTGTTGAGGCGTTGCTACACATATCATCTATTAAATCTTCTTCATCAACAAAATTATTTTGAAATCTTAATAATTCCTCGTCTGTTGGTCGTCTTTTTAACACTTTATAAAGTTTATGTATCCAAGAATTAGTATGAAAACTGTAATTACCTCTACGATAAAATCCACCACATCTACATAGTTTCATTAGCATATTATTATATTATATTAAATTAGAATATCTTTATTCATCATTTGTAATTTGAAATGCCTGTTCAAAATTGATATGAAACTTTTTGTTAATGTCTTTTGAATTCATATTCACGTAGAAAAAAGAATATGGAGCAAAATTAACGGCTTGATGATACATATCTAATAATTGCTGTTTATCAACAATGGCACTATTTTCTTCAATAAAACTCATTAATTCACTGGCATTTTTCAACCTAAAAATATATAACGAACTGGCATTTAAACGAATGATAGGCGCCAAAACATTGTATTTCTGTGTTGAACAAATTACGCTTACTGCATCGTGCCTACCTCTTGTAAATAATCCATGTAATAATTTACTATATCTAACAAATTTAGGATCGTCGGCATGATCGTCTATAACGATTAATATTGAATGTAGTTTCTTTATCTTTTTAGATTTCATATAATTAATTATTTTCTTCTGTCTTTCAATTACATTTTCTAAATCACTTGGATTATAATTATCAAAATAAATTTGTTCTTTTTCATCATCCACGTGCAATTCATCCCTGATATATTTTTTAACTTCTGTAAAGGTTGGGTCATTATGAACGCTGGGGGAAAATATGAATATTCTTGCAAATGAATTTCTATAAACATTTAAGATAAGGTTCTGGACTAAAACTGTTTTGCCTCCCGTCGATGAAGCAACTATAATACTTCTAAATGGTAATTTTGGCACGTGCTCATATTTAGATTGTTTGAATTCATATTCAGTTATGTTTATTGGTTTTATTATTGGAACATCTGACATAATAAAATAATATTAAAGTTATCTAGAAAATATTTTATATGTATTATTTTATATGAATAGAAGCTATTCAGATTATATTGATATAATAGATGAAGTAGAGAATATAGAACAAGTTGTTACAACTGATAATAGATGTAAAAAAATATGTTATTTTATTTTAGAATTAATTAAGTTTGTGATACGATATATCAAAAATAAAAATGTAAATATGAATATAAATGGGAAGAAAGAAAAAGAATAAGACTGAACCAGTTGTTTTTTCAACTGATGAAGAAAAAGAAGAAGTTGTTAAAGAAACATCAGTTATTGAGTTTGCTTGTCCAATGTGAAAAAAGATGTTAGAAATGAAAAATGAATTAGAAATACAAAAGAAAGGAAACTGTAAATGTTCGTGTTTTCCCACAACTTTCAAAATAAGTAAAAATGATAAGAAAATGAATATTGATAAAACCAAAGAAAGTATCAACTTAGAAACAGATGTTCATAATATTGCTATCAAATGGGGAAGACATGCATCGCCATCCGATAATGGCGATAAGGAAACTCAGGAAACTGTTAAACAAATGATGAAAAATTAGTATTTAAAGAGTAGATTTAACATAATTTAAACATTTAGTTTTAAAAGTTTTATTTTATAATATTATATATATTTACATGGATGAAGGAGTAGAAAAGATGGTTAAAAAACTGAACAAGGTTTTAGAACAGAATAAGAATATTTTAGAAATCTTACAAGAAATGGAAAAGAAGAAACCATTAACAAACAGTTATCAAAGTAAAGAAGTAGATAGAACCAATGGTGAATATAAAAATAAAAGAAATATGATTTTAAACAAACTTAATAACAAAGAAATTAAAGAACCGAAGGCTTCAACTATGACATTTTATCAAATCAACTATGATGAAGATACAGGGATTTATTCTTGATTGAAAACATTTTTCTCTGAAAATCTGTTTAAAGACATATTGGCATAACTAATATTATGAGTTCTACAAATGACGAAGAAGAAACAGGATACACAATGGTTTATCCTTGCAGTAAATGCGACGAAGCAAAGCCAAGAAAGGATTTTCACAAAATGTATGATAGAATTAAAATGGAAGAGATATTTTACAAAACATGTAAGGAATGCAGAGACAAAGTAAAAGCAACAAAAGAGTTAAGGAAGGAACAGAAGAAACGAATACAACCCATGGAAATACATAGATTAAAGCCTTTGATACCATAGTTTCGCTATACTTACAACATGTAAGATCTTATATGTTGTAATTATAGTGGTAAAAATATTTCTATAAATTATAATTTGTCTGAAAATGTATTTAAAGAAATATTACCTATATATGTATATTAGGACAATGAGCGATACAGAAAGTGAAAATAGTCAATATAGTGATACAGAAAGTGTGTATAGTGAATATAGTGATGCAGACAGTGAATATAGTAAATATAGTAACACAGTCCGTGAAGATATTGATGCTAAGAATATATTCAGAGAAAAGTTTATGAGTTATAAATGTAGAGACTGTGAGATGCTAAAATTACCAATTAAACAAGGTTTTTTGAATGGTGTTTGTGATAATATGTGTCAATGTATGATATGTGATAATTGCAATAAAATTATAAACGAAATTGATGATATGAATAGCAAATATATTAATACTAGAAATGTTAAAAATCTTGATGACGATTTAGAAATATTTGTGTTTATTAAAATGAATAAGTTCTTGACTGAAGAAGAGTTTGGAAATTTATTATATAAGGGCGATGAGGAAGGAAATGATAATGGTTTTATTTTTAAGTATTATAATCTGGTAAAAAGATTATACAATATGTATTTTAATATTAGGCGTTTAAAGAAAGAAGCATTGAATGATAATGACTTTGACTTTTTAAGTTGTGAGTATAAAGCTCACGAACTTAGATATACGGTAATAAATGCAATTATAACAATGGGCTTGTTTAAAAAGGAAATAGGAAATAATATATATAATGAAAAAACGACTGATAAAATAATAAAAAGAATTATAACAGAATTTTAAAATTAATTAGAAATAGAGTTGAACTCATAATATAATTATAACATGTAAACATTTATATGTTATAATTATACTGTACGTTTCCCGTATAAGCCGTGGGGGTGCTTTCCTACATAGGCCTTTCCCATCCGCATTTTGCCATCCAATGTCACACAAATTATTTTCAAGATTTGGGTTAACGGTTTTAGTTCTCCCTTTTCCATGGGTTAACCACTTTTCGGGGCGAACATAGCGTTCTTTTTTAGACTGTTCGTATTTGTTGGAAATGGGAAAGGGTTGCAGTTTGGATCAAGGGAGGAATTATTGAGATCTTGGGGTTGCGATCTTGGGAATGAAAACATGTTGGTATGTAGCTTGGATTTTTTTGGTGGGATTTGTTGAGGTGGCATGTAGTTATGATTGTTGTTATTGAATGAGTGTAAGGGTGATGTTGAGATGGGGTAAGAAATGAAGATGGGTATGTGAATATGTTTTTTGGTGTTGGATTGGTTGGGTGATTGAATTTGAATGTTGAAAATGGGCTGTTTTAGTGGGCGTATTCAGAATGTGCCCAAAAGTGTGGGGGGGACCCTAGGACCGGATGGCAAAATGCGGACGGGAGAGGCCACCTCTAACTGAAAGACCCCCAAATGTCTGTCTTTTCTTGAGGGGACCCCTTTTTTTGGTGGTTTTAAAGGTAATCCACAAACAAAAATGGAGGGGTCCCCAAAAAAAAACAACCCCCCTAATGGGAACTGGTCTGCGCCGGAGGCCTTCTGCTGCAGCGAGCGGCAATCCGCCAACACCGTACGAGAATTCTCCTGGCGCAAGGGGACCCAAGTTGAGTCGCAATTTGAGCGACCCAAGATGGTTCCAGGAAATGGGTTCTAGGATGCTACACGCATGGTTCCAAGCTGGAACCCATCTATTAGAACCCATTTAGCGTCCTCTGAATCGAGACCTGGTTGTTTCATGGGTCTGCCCAAACCCCGTGAGGCTTTGAATCTGCCGCATGCAGAGGTCCACAAAAAGCCGTGATTGAACTAATGATGAAAGTTGTGGAAAACGTGTTCCCGCTTTTGGCCCTGGCTTAAATAATGGAATCCAGAAAACCAGGCTGGTGAGAGGAAACTCCTGTTGGGAAATGGAACCCTTAAAATCGCCTCTTTTCCCTCAAGGTCTCCACTCTCAGCCCAAAATGGGCTGAAAGGATCTGGCCTCCAGCTGTCGAAGATCTGCGCCTGTTGTCTTTAGGTGGTTGTACACAGGGTTTTGTTTGTGTGGTTGCCTGTTTGTTTGTTTGCTTGCCTGCTTGCTTGCCTGCTTGCTTGCCTGCTTGCTTGCCTGCTTGCTTGCTTGTTCGTTCGTTTGGTTGCTTGTTTTTGTTTGTTTGCTTGTTTGTTTGTTTGTTTGCTTGTTTGTTTGTTTGTTTGTTGTTATAGGGTATCTTTTTGACGGTGGGTTTAAAAGGAAACCCACAGGAACACCATTTGTGGTCCTCCTATTTTCACACAGACCCATTTTTGGAGCAAACCCCCAGGTAGAGTTAAACCAAGGAATTGCTTTCGGGAACTCAACGTGCTCAGTCCACCTTGGGCAAATGGCCTCCCAAAAGGCTTGCTGATGAACATACACGTTTCCCCCAAAAGGTGATTTGTTGCTTGTAAGAATTGTGTGGGTTGGTATGCAGGGAAAAGGGTATGAGCCAGGCGTACGCACTAGTTGATTTCCCCACTCAAACCAAAAGAGCCTTGCAGGTAACAGTCTTTTCAACATGAAATTAGGAAAGCTAGAATTCCATTGGTCCTGGAAGAGCCTCTTGTAACAGGGACCCTGTGGTAGCGTAGCAACCTCCCAAAAAGTGGAGCCTGTGAGCCGTCCGTCTTCCGTTCGACGGCTCTCCCGTTCTAAGATACTTACTGACAATATTGCATCTGAAACAGTTCACGCAGCTGAAACAGCTGAAAGGGTATCCAAAACTGGCTGAACCCCTCTCAGACCTTGCCTTTGCAGCACAGCCTGACAATACTTCAGATATGTGTTTTCCGCTTGACAACTCAAGCACTTCGACAGCATCAAGTCACAACATAGCAGAGAGTGCCAATGACCTATCCAATATCAATGACACCCCTTGAGGACACGGCAGGGTGTCACTTTTCGGTCGCCTCCCCAAGAGACTGTAAACCGAGGCATTCTTTATTGGAATGCTTGCACCGCCCCTGAGCCTGAGGCATTTTGGGCACAAGCAAAAATATGACGCCTGCAAAAGGGGCCCTTGCTCGGACCATGGTTTCGTGGCTTTAGGCTTGGGGTACCTTCCTTTCTGTTAAATCAAGAGTAACTCGGGGCTGTAAAAAGAGCCCCCGGTGCGTCCAATTCCAAAATGTGCAAACACTCCCGTAAGCGTGGCCTTGGCTTGTGTAGGAAAAGGGCAACCCTCAGCCCAGGTACAGAGAACCACCAATTGGGGCTAAGGCGGCGATGAGTGTTGCTGTAACAGTGGTTCATGGTTGTGTCCAACCATATGCTTCTGATGCCCACCAAAGAGTCCAGATTCATACCGTGAGAGATGCGCTGAGACACGTGTCCGATCCAACACCATCCCGCACTGCAGCATGGAGCCTGAAGCAGGAGTCCTGTGGCTGAGGGACCCCTAAGACCCAAGGTGTACCCAGACCGTCGGGATCGATCGAGATCGCCTGCGGCTGCTTGAGCATCCTGCGCCAGCCTGAACTGCTGCCTCTCCCGCTCCAGGGTAGCCTCTCGGAGAAAAGCAGGCATGCGCAAAATGATTTAGGCCCCAAGAGGACATAGGACAATCGAGGTGGCGCCCTGTGTGGAAACCTGAGTTCTCCCCCCGATATCCCCAGCTGTCATTGGGATCACGGCCTCCGCTTCACGCAGACGCTCCTGGACGAGAGCTACTGGGGCCGTTCGAATAAGATATCCTCAAACTGACCCGAGCTAAACGTGGATTTAGCACCGGGTCCTACAAGTGAGTCACAATCAAAACCCGGTATTTATCTAGAAGGCGGCCGCAGCTATTTCTGGTTGGGATTGTCCCTTATTAACCTTCATCTACCCGGGATTTGATTGTGGCTCAAGTGATTTTGAGAACCTCAAAAAGAACGGTTTAAAGCTAAAACGGGCAGTCACCAGCCCAGGCAAAGGGATTGCCACAAGAGCCTGCAAGCCAAAAGCCCCAAATACGCGCGGACTCTCGGTCCATGAAGAGGGAAGAAACACGTCCGTGTTGCAATCACATACGTCTGATGATGATGATGACGATGACGATGACGATGACGATGACGATGACGATGACGATGACGATGAAGATGAAGATGAAGATGAAGATGAAGATGAAGATGATGATGATGATGATGATGATGATGATGATGATGATGATGATGATGAGGAGGAGGAGGAGGAGGAGCAGGATGAGGATGATGCTGAGCTAGATGTGAAAAATCAAACTGAGGAATGGGCGGAAAATGGGAGCACGTAGGTTTGATAAACGTGTGCAAATGACTTGAATGGGCCTCGCCCGTCTGGGTGTGCCTCCCTTTTGGGTTCAGAAATCTATGAAAAGCCAGGCCCCGATGTTTAAGCCGAGATTGCTTAAACTTCTTTCGGGTTTCCATTTGAAGGCGACCAGAGCCCACCCAGTCACCCACGTGACAAAGAAAAGAAATACAAAGTGTTGAAGAAAATCAAGTGGGACAGAAATTGGAACACCAAGCTTCGTTTTGGGTTCGGTGCCCCCTTATCAAACTCAAATCCTGGTCTCCTTTGAGTTTCTTTTTCAAGCCAAAAGATCGGGTTCAAACGGCCTTTCACACCAGCCAGAAAAAGCCCCCCGGACACTCCCATTTAGAGGGCAACCTCTACGAAACCAGCCACATGGCTATGCGTCAAAACTGCGAGTTGGACACCAACAATGACTTTAGGTTTCGTTTTGACTTCCCCAAAGCATTTGAACTCCAGGTTCTTGTGGATGGGAAACCACCCACCACCTCCAAACCATGAATCCACGCCACCAATTAGAAAAGCAAGGGGCTGCGGAAGGCGTTGCGTGCGGCTTCCCACTTACCCTCTACAAGAACAAGGGTTCAAGTGTCCAAACCACCTTGAATCAGAGGGGTTCCGCTCATAGGTGTCCTTTTTGGGTAAATAGATGGCCCGCCCTGGTAGATGATGAAACTACCAGATAAACCAGGGCCATCTATTTTTCTACCAAAACATACAAAAAGGACACCTATGGTTCCGCGCCCAACCAAAAGACGCGCCACGCCCCATCCTGCAGGGTCTGCACCTGGATGGCCGCCTCTCGCGCTCGCTGGTTCGCCGCCTCTTCAGACGCCACGGCGCGCTGGCGGCTGTCCTCCGATGGAAGCCCAAGCTACAATTCCCAGCTTCTGCTGTGGGGTGGGAGAGGGGGGGAGGGGGCGGGGGAGGGGGCGGGGGAGATCCTGCCGGCACACCTTGGCGGGTTGGGCTTGCCGTGCGCCCACCGCCTCCGCCCTGCAGCATACTGGGGGGGGGCAAAGAGTCCACTTGACCCAAACCACCCACCGGAGTTTGATGGGTGCGAATGTGTGCCTTGTCCTCAAACCAAAGAATTTACCCTGGGTTTTAATGGGGCTGGCACACTTGAGCTTCTATGATCCCTGGGTTCAATGCGGGTGGGGATTCTGGATTTAGTGGTTTGCCATGGAACACTTGGGTTTCTGGATGGTTCCCACCCCAAACCACCGGGACCCAGAACCTCAAATGGGCCATTTACCAGGCCTGGACCGACTCCGCCAGCATGCGGGCCTGCGCAAGTCGAGAAACGAGGGTGCTCGGTGCTTCCTTGCTCTGCTCCATGGGCAAAAATGCCAAGAAAACAAGCAGAAGGGTACCTTCAACATTTAGTATATATAGCAAACAAAAAACTGGGCCAGACTTGGACCCTAGGTTGAGGTTTTGCTGGTATGGGACCAACTGTGCCTCCTGCAAACGCCGCTCGCACTCCACCTCCAAGTTAGACCGCACCTGCGCCAGCGGCGTCACTCTAAACTAAGCCACCCAACTGAAACCAAGCCCAAACCAAATCGAGGAAGAAAAAAACGATTCTGAACCAGACTGCACCTGGATAACCCGATTCCAAATCAACTAAGCCAATTCCAAACTGACCTTGACACCGACACCCGCAAAAGCCCAGACCAAAGACCACAGGATGTGTCAGCCTTGAGCAGCTCCACCCGCTCGGATTCCACCTGGCCGCCCATTGCTCAAGTTTGAGCTACCAAGAAGAAGCCTTTCTGTTTAGGGGTGGCCATACCGGGTAGATGTCAAATAGCTGCTGGTTTCCCAACAAAAACCAAGCTTCACAGGGTAAATCAAAACACACATATCTATATATATATATATATATATATACACATACGTATATATATATATATATCAACTGGGACAATGGGCTCGGTTTCAATCAGGTCGTCTCAAAGCCCCCCCACGAGCATTGGCAAAACACTCTGTGCCTGCTTCTTGAGCTCTTCGTGCTCGCCCTCGCACGCTCGCCCGACATTTGCGGGCCATGTCAAGCTGAAAGTTGTCGTTTGTAGGGGCTGGGGAACCACTGTATGGAGTGTATGCTCCATTTCTGTCTGACTCAATCCCCCACAACCAAGTGAACCCTGCACTTGCCAAAGGAACCCTCGCGCCTCCAGGATCGACAGACGCCGCGCGGGGCTCTCCCGGACCTCACCGAAACGCCGCTTCAGCGCCCGCGCCACGACATTTTTGTCCGAGCCTGGGCGTTCACTTCCAAATCATCCAGGCCTCGGGTCGCGAGCTCTGGTCGAAATGTGGGAAACAGGACCCCAAAATGGGGCCCGAACGGTGGTGCCGTTTGGTTTCCAGGAAAGAGAAGAAGAAAAAAAGAAGAAGAAAAAAAAAAAAGGACATCCTCCCCTTTATATTGTCCTGAACATTCCTGAGATGGTGTTAGACCAACGTTCACTTCAATCCGCCGATGCTGGTTGTCTTGCAAGGTCGAATCAAAGCCTGGTATGAAGAGTCTACCCAAAGCCATCGGCACACAATTCAAAGGTCAGGACTGCCCCATAGCCCCCTAGTGAAGTGTCTCATGGGGCCATCCCAAACCAAAACCGATGCGTTTGATGGCCCGTACAATTGTCGTTGGTGCGAATGTGAGAGGCACCGAGTGTCGTGGACTCCAACTGCAAGCTCCAGAGCTGCCTAATGGAGCCTCGAGATCAACTCGTTAATTCTAGGCTTGACCCGGTTGCACCGTAGAGTTGTGCCTGAATCCAGAATGAAACCCCTTTCCTAATCAAAATTTGCGAAGTGTGCCCAGTGTCGTCCCCCGTACTACGTGGAACAATGGTGAATACTGAGCGCTACTCACATGACAAATGCCAAAATGCCGCGCGCCTTCGTTTCGCAGCTGGCGGCGACCTCGATTTGACATCTCGACACCGCTGTGAAGAGGCAGACCAATTGACCCTTGAGAGGAAAAGGACATGAACTAAGAACATGTCTGCACACCAACCAAATCCACCCCAGTCCCTTGAGGAAAATCCACGGAATTTCCTAATCCCTGCAGTAGAAGCTATTGGGGCGAGTAGATTTGAGAGTTCCTGTTTTTCAGGCGTGATCACCACGAAGGTCAGGCGTCAGCACCACCACCCCCCCCCCCCCCCTCTCGCTGCGTTGCTTCCAGTCACCACCACCACCCCCCCCCCCCTTCTTACCTTTTGACTCACCTCAATGTCTAACCCCAACCCCTTCGCCACCACCACCACCCCCACATCTTTTCCTTCTAGAACCACCACCACCCCCCCCCCCACCACATCTTTCCTTTGCTAGAACCACCACCCCCCCCCCCCACCATCTTTTCCCTCGCTAGAACCACCACCCCCCCGCCCCATGATCACCACCACCACCACCCCCCCCCCCCACAACCACTACCCACGCAACCACCACCACCACCCCCTCCATTTCCATTTCCGTCACCACTTTTCGGGCTTGCCTGAGAAGAAGACTGTGGACCACCCGAAACGACTGCTGCTAGCTACTTAGTACATTTGGCAACAAGCTCTTCTTCGAGCATCATGGGGGGGGCTGCCGCCCCCCCCAACCCCCCCGCTACTTGGTACATTTGGCAACAAGATTTAGCTGCGCCCCTGCTCGAATCATTTCTCCGAACATCCGCCCGCAATCTTTGAATCATCACTCCTTCACAATTGAAAAAAGAATTTGCATTGCGCGCCTAATTGAATCATCGCTTCTTCGAGCATCATGGGGGGGGCTGCCGCCCCCCCAACCCCCCCGCTACTGAGTACATTTGGCAACAAGCATCACTTCGAACATCCGCCCGCCCTCTTTGAATCCCCCCCGGCTTGATGTTCCACCTAGGTTGCATTGCACGCCTATTTGAATCATCACTTCTTCGAGCATCATGGGGGGGGCTGCCGCCCCCCCCACCCCCCCGCTACTTAGTGCATTTTGCAACAAGCTTTAACTGCGCCTCTACTCGAATCATCACTTCGAACATCCGCCCTCTTGGAATCATCACTCCTTCACCCTTGAAAAAAAGAATTTGCATTGCGCGCCTATTTGAATCATCACTTCTTCGAGCACATGGCGGGGGCTGCCGCCCCCCATGGCCAACCCCCCCGCCACTTAGTACATTTGGCAACAAGCTCTTCTTCGAGCATCATGGGGGGGGCTGCCGAAAGTTGCGCGGGGGGGGGGGGTGGTGCGAACCCCACCCGTTGAGGGGGGGGGGGGGGGGTGGTGGACCTCCCGCCCCTGAGGGTGGGGGGGCTTGCTGTGCGGGGGGGGGGGGGAGGGGGGGGTGGTGGACCCCCCCCCCCCTTCTTTAAGAGGTGAGGGCGGGGGTTGCTGCGTAAGGGGGGGGGGTGGGGTGGACCCCCCCCCCCCCTTCAAGAGGGTGAGGGGGGGGGGGTGGTGGTGCGGGACAGACCTGAAAAAGTCCAGCGCCACATCTGCGGGCACTATCGTAGATTTGCCCTGAGACAAAGTGATCCACCTTCCGACTCAAGTAAGTGTTTGCCATCCACAGCAAGAGAAACCCAAAGAAGCTCACCAAAGAATACAAATCACCCCCACTCGTGTACCAGGGGATGGGAGTCAGCTACAGAGGTCAGACTTGGAAAGGCTTGGAAGTCCCTAAAGGCGGTTGCAGGAGGAGCATCCCCAAAACGCCTGGCATGTCCTTGGGATTATTTCATGTTATTTCATGCACTTCACCGTAAGTTTCAAAAACGGTTTGTCTCGGAATGGAGGGCATGGGCCTTTGCTCTGTGATTCCCCTCAAAACAAGCCAAAAAATGGACGCCCTCACAAAAGGATGCCCCAAATGGTGGAACGGCGGACCCCCGAAATTGGAGATTTACAGTTGGTTTGCCTTTCAGACCAACCAAAAGCGGGATCCAAAAGAAAAGGACGCACCCAACTGGAGTCTTTCAACCTGAGCGCGTGTCTGTAACGTTCCCCATCAGCAACCAGGCGTCGCAGGTCAGAAAGGTGAACCTGCCTGCATGGCCGGTACTTGTTGGCACCCTTCGAGACCAACGTTTGGAGGGCACTCCTTTCTGTGGGGAGCAAACGGCCATCCCTGTTCAGACAAGCCCTCCAGCAGACAGGCACGAGGCAGCTGCCAGGTGCCGTAGAAAGCATGGGAAAGTTTCATGCGAGCCCTGCGCAAAATTGCGAAGGTCTCCACAAGACATGCGAAACATTGGAAGGGTTAAGCCAGTACAGGGCTTCAATCAGCGCTCATCTTACCCCCCCCCCCCGCCACAACTTCCCCAGAAGCATGGCAGAGATAAAGGACGGGGGCAAGATCAAGCAGCAACGGCGCGCGGCATCAAGAACTTCCCCCCGGCAGAAGGGAGCGGCGGAGAAAAAGAAGAAAAAAAACGTGGTCGATCGACCGCCCTGCCCAACTCCCGGGGCCCCAAATCGCGCCTCACTTCGCAGGCTTCGCGCCGGCCCTCGATCGCGTGGATTTGCTTGTCGATCCAGTCCAGTGTGCCTCGGGCAGATCCCCGACGCAGCAAATCCTAGAGGTCAGGAGATGACAGGGGGATTCGACAAGCGTGGTATCTGGCAGAGTTCCAAGATGCCCCAAAAAAGAAACCCGTTCACGAATGAAGCCCCCTTTGTGAATTCCCATAGGGTCGGACCTGAGCCCTGTGTCAAGACCTGCCCCAGACCCACTCCGCTCGTTTGGGCGGCTCTCAGTGTCCGTCTGTCATTGTCATCATCTCCGTGGGCACCTGGTGCGAGGGTCCCTTTTTGATTGGCCCAGGCACTCTCCAGGGTTTCAGTGTCTGATGACCCCAGGGTGGCTGGGTTTGGCTCGAGGAATGGAACCGGAATTGCGACATGCGACATGGGACAAGCCAAGGGCGCCTGAGATGTCGACCTGGCACGCTGCGCTTGCGCCAATGCTGTTTGGGGTGAAATGGGCCAGGAGTAGTCAGCCCCAGTTGATGAGAAAGAGGGTGTCCCATGTTCGAGGGCATCCTTCACTTTTGGGAAAGAACACACCCCAAAAGAATGTGGCAGGTTGACTCATCCGGGCGCAACCTTAACTGCGCCTTGATCTCGCCCTTGAGACCAAGTGGAGACTTGACACACCTAAGTGCGAAAGCAGACGCTTGGAAAGCTGTGCGTGCACCGAGTGACTGCTTCCAAATAAGTCAGTGAGGGTTTGAGTTGGACATAGAAACTAACGGGAAATGACCCAACTCTGCAGATTAACATGCAGCCCTAAAAACCATCACTTTAAGGAAGGGAGTCTCGCTTTGGGGGGGCCTCATGTTTTGGTTTGCTTGTTTGTTTGTTTTAAGAAAAAAACAGAACCGCAAAGACGTGGCCATGTGCTTTGCGGTATGGTGAAAAGCCATGGTTCCCTTCTCTGAGAAACCCTTACAATGCTTGTCAAAGGGTCAAAAGTGGCACACGTGGCACACGTCGCCATGTTTCCATGCTTGGAGCACCAACTGACAACACGAGGAGACAACCTCGTTCTCTAAAGTCCCTACATTCTGCCCTCCCAAACCCAGTTCCAACTCGCCGAGCTCAGGGCTCTTCGAGGTCTTGGGAGAGCTCTTTTTCCATCTCAGAGACCTCGAAGCCGAGAAACTCGCCCGAAATGTGCCTTCCATTCCTGTGAACCGTCAAAACATCCAGTTTTGCTATAGGGGACTATAGAAAAATCCCAAGTTTCTGAAGGGAAATGTAATGTGAAATCCTGAAACGAAGCTCATATCGACGGTGTGGCGTACTGTCCTCGTGCGATGGGTGACCCAATGTGTATTGAGCAACTTGGCTGCCAGCGACGCCATCAATTCGCTTCAGCAAGTCCTACAAAATCTGCTCCGAGCGGGGGGTCTTTTGGCTGGTCTCTTAACTGGGGATCACCCGAAGCGGTGCTCCTTGGGCTTCTCGAAAACCCCGAAATTTGCACCTTCAAACCATAAAAATACCGTGAAATGCCCGTGTGCATCGATATACCGGCAATAGGAGTTTGCTTCGTGCCCTGGCGGCGAGAACAAGCAGCGCGGTCCTCGGAAAGGTTGGGCGACTGCACCTGTTCTGACCTCCAGGAAGCGCGTGGTGCAGGGAGATGGAAGCCACCACACCAAGCACCCGGCGGCGGAACGACGTGTATGGACGGAACCTTAGCCATTGACTCGTTCAAGCACAAGCCCGAAACAGGACGTGCAAGCCCGAAATGGGTGGTGCGTCTCTGGGCGTCCATTTCAAACAACCCCAAAAAGGAGAAATCCTTTAGACATCCCGTCAAAACAACCCCGAAATGGGTGCCAACTCCAAAAAAAACACACGCCCGCCATATCTGAGAAGCAGGCCATCATGGGCCTCAGGGGCACTGCATGACAAGAACTGCGCTTTGTCAAAGCTGAACTTAGGCGCTTGCTGTGCCGTATGAACCTCGGCGTGCTGGAACACCAAGGGGTGTGATATTTACGGGGAGATTTGGCCATGGGTGAAAATCCCGTACCTTCAGTGAACATCCCAATCCCCACAGCCATTTCTGGCGGAACGTCATGTAGGCGGGTTTGGTATGTGCACAAACCATTTGGGATGGTTTCCCGAGTTAGGTTCACTGCAACATGTTGGTGCAGGAATCGGGGTCTGACTTCCAGCCAAATATGCACCCTTTGGACATGAAATTTACATTTGGCAATGGTTAGGTTTATGTCCACCATTCTCAACTTTATTCCAAGCATCGACCCTCAAAATCATTCTACTGAGGGCTGCACGGGGGATACGGTTGTCACTGGCACCTGACTAATGTGCTTAAATTAACGCCCCATATGCTGCATGCTATGGGCGTGTCTCCATCAACAAGATCCTCCATCGAGTTGGGAAATGGTTTATCCCACTGTTCATAAAATATTGTCCATCCCAATTGCAGGATTTGTGCTCGTCCACAGTCGAGAAATCCTATACTGATGGTTGAAAGGGAATCCAAGCGAACACCTCTCACGTGGAAGATCCTGACTCCGACTTGTGATGTGAAGATCAACGCCCCCACCGGCACGGCTCTTGGAGACGGAGTGATCACACGTCCTTGGTGACAGCAGGGTCAAGCCAAAAGGGCGACCGCATGGAAAGCAACAATTTAGGGTCCAAATCCCAAAGTGCAATGTTCTGTGAGTGCCCAAAACCACCGAAACTCCGCGGATCGTGGTGGCCTTAGGAAGTTTCAAAACTCGCTTCGGGCATCTACGCGAACCAACCCCGAGCGCAACTGGACATGGACCTGGCTTTGGGGCCTCTGCCGATGGGACTTCGAGATGTGTCTGGCGACCTTAGACGCATGTGCCATGGCCAAAACTCCATAGGTCATGGTTGCTGTGGGGTGGGGTTTCCCCAATAGCTCACAAACCGTCTAAGAGGCTGATGACCAACCAAGTTTCGGGGTCTTTTGTCCAAGGCAGGGACAGTGCGCGGGGCACACCATTGTAGATCCTGGGTGCGATGAATCCCAAAGCAGTAAGACTCGGGCCCAGAATGTCGGGCCCACCAATATGGGTGATGTGACCCTACCCAAGATCAGGCTCCCCCGAGTTGTTTGCTACAGATTCTCAGTCGATTGGTTCAAGTTGCCACAGATTCACAAACTAAGCACAGTACACACCTCGCGTGGGCAGCGGTGATACAGACCTGTCACAAAGCACCAGCAAAATGCAAGTTGAGCCTCTCCGTGATCTTTGTCTTGCAGCTTCATACGGGTTTGGCTCAACAAGTTGGACCAACCAAACCAACCTGAGCCTCAGACAAGCTAAATCCCGCCTTATCGAGCTTTGAGTCGGAGCTGCATACACCAAGCCACCTGGCACACATCCAAAAGATCCAATCATCAAAATCTGGCAAAGGAGTGCAAAGCAAAGAGGCTTCTTGCAACACCTGTTCCAGTCCCTTCCCCTTCATCTGCCCATATTTTGATTGCTCACTGGAAGCTGGCTAAGCGGTAGGCACTTGCCTGCATTCTGGTACTCTGCACGAGAGATGACGCCATCGTGGTTCGTGTCCAGCGCATCGAAGCACGGCATGACAAGGGACGACGGGGCAGTGGCACCTTCAATCTCTGCCTCTCTCTCTCTCTCTCTCTCCTTCTCTCTGGCTTTTGAAGCAATGCATCCAAACATTCTCAGAGTTGTTGAGCCTCCCAAACCACTGGGCCCTCCAAACCAAAGTGTCTATGCCCCCTGGTCCAGCCTGTGACAGGCTCTGCTCGCTGCACGCCTGACATTGTTCGATTGCAAGACAAGCTCTATCTGCTCATGCACCCGGTGCAGAAAGTCGAAACCCTGCCGATAAGGGCACACCGAAAGAGAACACGACATCTTTGATGATCCTCTAGTGCCCTCTTTTCATCCCTTGCTAAAAGTTATGTCCAGCGGGATATCAAGTCCCAAAATCCCAAGGTCTATGGCACAAAGCCGCTAGGCGTGTGAATTTTCATGGGTCCAAAAGGACGCAAAATATCGGACATCAGAATTCGGAGATGTCCAGCAACCACTTTTGAGGTGGTTCCAACTGGCTGTGGCTCAAAAAACCGGTACCAAAATGGAACCCTGGTAGGTGGAAACATGGACCAAAACCTGCGTAGCCCCTCCTGTTTAATTTTGAGCCACACCCAACTCTCAAAAATTGGAAAGCACCCAAAGCGCGCCATGCGGCCTGGCAAGGCTACAGGTGGAACACGAGGGAGCTGAACGTTCGCCTGGCACGCGACAAGTCAATCCGATGTTATTTTTCGGGCACGAACGCGTGAGAATACCGGGCCTGTGCCTGAAATGGGGTGTCGACCCCTTGGCGGGAACTTTGCGACTGGAACCCCAGAAGGATCTCTTCAAAAGGGGGGTGCCAGGGTAGTCACGAGGTCGAAGATTTCCAACTTGCCGGGCTCCTTTTTGATTCACTGATTCACTGCCACTTTTGGTCGGACCGGTGCAATCTCCCTGAAGTGCCCTCTCAGGACTTGCCCGCAAAGTGGGTTGCCCCCCTGATTCCAAAGTTGGTCTGCTCGGGCTGGAAACCAATTCGAAAATTGGTGCTAAGAGGCTTTAGCTATTGGAATCGGTGCTAAACCTCACGTGCCACTTGTGCTCAGCGCCAGGCATGCGCGGCCAACGGCAGTTGACACCTCATGCTCTTCAGTCAAAGGCTGAAAATGGCAAGTGGAAGAGCCGTTTTCATGTGGGTGGGGGCCTGTGTGTCCCAAAAAAAAAAGAGTACCCAACAGGGACCTCTAAATGGAAACTTGAACTAAAAGCCCGCGATCACTAGTTTTGACCTGCGGGACCCCAAGCTGGTGGCGAGTTCCAATCCAAGCGGCTTCTCGCTTCTGGCCACAATGCCGGCAGAAGATCGCGTCGTGTGCATAAACGCTGCCGCACTTGGGGCAGACCTCAAAGCGGATGATGGTCCGTTTGGGCTTCAGGATATGGAGGGACGCGCCGAGCAAGCCAAAACAAACAGGGGACGCTCTGTCAGACATACTAAATGTCCGTTGCGGAGACCGCATAGTATATTGATCGTGGCTCACACGATCTGCGACAAATGAGATCACCATAGATAGGAGTCCGGCCTGTGCACGGTTCTGTGGTGAAAGGCTGCCTTGCACGATGTGCCGCAAATCCGGCATGTAGTAACAGGGCAGGTAGCAAGTTAGCCGCACCTATGGTGTTCCCTACCTATTACCCGGGTGTTTGTTGTGGTTGCTCCGCGCCGCTGCTATAGCATGCAGCTTGTTAGCACCTCGCCTGCGCGAAATGCCGCGCCATTTTGTTCTGGCTGATTCAGCCAGGCCATGCCAGGTCAATGGTCAACACAGACCCCACAAGAGGCTGACTGCGAGCCAAATATGCAACGGACAAAAGAACCCTGCTTGATTTGTTTGTGGTTCCTCTGAACTTCCCCCCCTTGGCGGTGTTGAGCACCAAAGCTCCTCAACAACCCGAGTTGAGGAACTTGCAAAAGCCAGTCAAGTGCATAACATGCTAAATTTGCAAACTGCACGATGATGCTGCTTGGCTAGGCTCAAGCAAGCCCAATGTGAGCTGTTTGGATGTATTGGGGCACTGAATGGCTCACATGCTCAGGTCTCGATGGATTGCTTTATTCAATGCAATGCGTTTGCATGTTGCACGGCCGGCCTTCAGGCCAAAGCGCGCAAAAGCGACATGCGGTCCACCAACGCAACTACAAATTGCAGTGTCGGTGTGCTACTCACATCCCTTTGGGAAGTAGCGATTGTACCCGAGTCAACTCCTGGCAAGTTGAATCCATATGATTCCATCTGTGCAAATCAAAGCGTCCTTCGTCAAGACGACCATCTGAATATCAATGTTCTTCAACTGGCTTGCCATTCTGACCAGAGTAGTGACCATGGACTCCTGTGGGCTGATGCAGGAAAAACTGGCAGACGTGTCTGAAAGGTCCTTGTCTGCGGGATCATACTCAATGGACTTGCCATCTTCTTTCTTGGAGTCCTCAAAGCATGCGCTCATGGGGGAAAAAACCTGATAGAAGCCACGAACCCGAATGCGGACACGAAAGCGGACTTGTCACATCTCGCGTCGCGTCTAGTCACGTCTTTATAGTCACGTCTCTGGTCACTTCGGGTCACGTCATTGTCACGTCTCTCGTAGCAACTCTGGCCACGTCAAACCTTTCATCATGTGTCTCGCTGCGCCTCTCGTCACGACTCTGTCACGTCTCCCATCACGTCTTTCTTGGCGACTTCCGTCATGTCTCTTGTCATGTGAGTCGTCACCCCTCAAGTCGCGTCTCTGGTCTTTTATCGCTTGTCTCGCCGCGCCTGTCGTCATGACGCCGTCGCGTTTCCCGCCGCGTCTTTCTTGGCGACTCTCGTCACGTCTCTTGTCACGCATGAGTCGTCGGCCCTCGTGCCACGTCTCTTGTCACATCTCTCGTCACGTCTCTGGTCCAATCTCGTCACGTTAGTCACGTCTCTGGCGGCGTCTCACGTCACGTCTCTGGTCATGCCCCTTGTCAGGTTTCTCGTAACAGCGTCTCTTGTAACGTCTCTCTTTTTTTCCTTGCCCTTGTCGCGTCTCACGTTCCAACGTTTCTTGTCACACCTATCGCCACGTAGCTAGACGTCCCTTGGCAGGTCTCTTAATAACAACTCTGGCCACGTCTCTCGTCATGACCTTCGTCACATCTTTCATCATCCCACCTTTCATGACGTGTCTCGAGGCGCCTCTCGTCGCGACTACGTAGCATCACCCGTCACGTCTTTCTTGGAGACGTCTCCTGTCACACGCGTCGTCGCCCCTCGCGTCACGTCTCTGGTCACGTCTCTGGTCACGACCCTTGCCACGTCTCTTCTCACACGTCTCTTGTCATATTTGCCGCCCCGTCTCTGGCAACCTCTCGCGTCACGATCCTCGTCACGTCTCTTGTCGCATCTCTCGTCACGTCTCTGGGTATCTCGCGTCTTGTCGCGACTCTGCTCGCACCTCTTGTCACATCCCTCACATCCATCGTCATGCCTCTGGTCACGTCTTTGGTCACGTCCTTTGTCACGTCTGTCGTAACAACTCTGGCCACGTCTCTCGTCATGACTTTCATCTTATCTTTCATCACGTGTCTCGACTTGGAGATCCTGTCGCGTGCGTCGTCACCCCTCGCGTCACGTCTCTGGTCACGTCTCTTGTCACGACCCTCGCCACGCCTCTTCTCAAACGTCTCTTCTCGTATTTGCCATCCCGTCTCTGGTAACCTCTCGCGTCACGATCCTCGTCACGGATCTTGTCGCATCTCTCGTCACGTCTCTCGTCACGGCTCTCCTCTTCTCACATCCATCGTCACACCTCTGGTCACGTCTGTTGTCACGTCTTTGGTCACGTGCTTTGCGACGTCTGTCGTAACAACTCTGCTCCCGTCTCTCGTCATCACTTCCAACACATCTCTCATCATGTGTCTCGACTCGCCTCGCGTCACAACTCCGTCACATCTCCCGCCCTGCCTTTCGTGGTCTGTCTCGTGTCTCTAGCCACGACCCTACTCGCGTTTCGTGTCACACCCTCACGTGTTTCGTCACGACTTCGCGATCTCAAAATGTGCTCCGCGCCCAGCGAAAGCGATTCAGCCCACCCAAAGCACGCAGAGGGTTCCTCAACATGTGCGCCGCACAACAGCGAGATCGATTCGACCCACCCAAAGTGCGCAGAGGGTTCGCTTTGCGATCTCAAAATGCGCACTGCGCCACGGCGAGAGCGACCCGACCCGCCCAAAGTGTGCAGAGGGTTCACTTTGCGATCTCAAAATGTGAGCCGCGCCACAGCGAGAGCGAATCGACACACCCAAAGCGCGCAAAGGGTTCACTTTGCGTGCTGAAAATGCGCACCGCGCCACAGCGAGAGCGACCCAACGAAATCTGCACGGAAAGCGCTGCACGAAAAGCTCTCAAGTGCTGCGCCTGTCACGAAAAATCGCGTTACAGCGACATGCAAAAGGCTCAAAATGCTGCGCCTGCCACGAAATCAGAATTTGACACTCTCGCATCGCATGCGGCGCGGGACTGCAGCGCCAGAATGATTTTTGACATGTTTCAAGCCCGCCAAAACGAGCCGATTCTACGACAGGGCCAACGAAAACGGCGCCGGCGCAAACACTATCACGCGCCTGCCACGTATGACACCTCAAAACGACCACCCCTGGATCGCAATTCCCACTGGCACGGCAACGAGAACACGCAGCCTTCCACAACACTGCGCCTGCGCAGCGAAACGACACGTCGAGCTTGAGAAGCTACGATTCCCGCACAGGGGGCACGAAAAATGACACGCTTCAAGTCATCCAAATGGCATGTTTTTCGCTTTCCCCCTTGGAACTGCTCGCGGACACATACGAACGCTTACGAACGCTTGCGAACGCTTGGGGACGTAAATTCAACGACTCCTGGTCACGTCCTAACCCCCAGACCCCCAACCTCTAAACGGGAACCCTTCTGCTACGCATTCGGGAAAACACAAATTTCAACGGGCGGGGTTCGACTTCCTATGCTTGTTCACCAGGATCGCCCGCCTGTGGCTGCCTTAAAAATCACCCGCCGAAAAGAAACTCAGACCCATGCGGCGTGGATGAGATTGCAGCCATGCTAACGCTTGCCAAGGTGAAGCCCAAACACCCTACAGCTCCGGCTCGAGAGTCGCAACTTCTCATTACAAGTGTAGTATTCGAAGTACACTTCGACAGAAGGGAGTGGAAGTCAGAGGTGCCAGCAGGAGAGCTTGAGATCACGTGCGGCTCAAGCGGATCATGTCAGGTCATTCGGCCACCCACACTGTCGCCTGCATAACAGGAGCGCAAGTAACAAACCAGGATTGCCAAATGGTCCGTCCACTGCCGCGGGAACTCGCTCATCCAGACGTGTAATGAATACTGCAAATTGAGTGCATGGCGCACATGCTCAAAACAACCAGAACTGGAGACGAATAGACGGGGATCAAAACATCTGGACATTTGGCCACGTTGACAATCTGGACAGACGAGTGTGGAGTCCAATAGAATCATATAGAATCATAGGAGTCTCTCACAAAATGGGGACATCAGAGATTTAGAGCATCAGGTGTCCCAGAAAAACAGGCCATGCCTCCTCTTTCTTCTCCTCAGTCTCCTCCTTCTTCTCTTCGTCAGTCTTCTCATCGCATTCATCTTTGCCTTCACTTCCGTCCTTGTCGTCACTGTCCTTGCAGCATAGCTGAACCCACGGAACCCTCAGCCCCCCACTGGGGCTCAATGGGCTTGCAGTCTGTCCTCACCCAGCTTCTTCTTCAAGGCCTCGTACCTTTCCTTCATTGCCTGGAACCTGGCCAATTTCGGCGGGCTGATGTCACATGGGAATCTCTACCAGTTTTGTGTTGGTGTTCCAACCGTTCCTGCCAAAGACACCCGGGTCAAAACGCCCGAAGCTCGCGGCAAACACTGGGCCTTTGCTTTGCCACCTCCGTGCCCCCGTTCTTGTCCGGGTGCATCTTCTTGGCAAGCTTCCGGTACCTCCAGCGAAGTCCACTGTGGGTGTTCGGTCTGTTTAGAGAAATTAATGGGAGGCGCCAGGGAAGGTAGATAGCCCAAACTCCTCGCCTATCTGGGCCCAGGCTTCGCCTACAATCCCCATAGCTACACGTATGGGGATGCCAGGGGGATGTTGCCTGTCTAGTCTTTAGCATTGTTTAGCTCTTCTTGGATCTGATGTTTACATTCAGCATCAGTGCCTGCACTACTTTACATCGTTTTGGGAGCAAGTACAAATGGTGTCTGGGAGTGTATACGTGGATTTGGGGGGCATCATCTGGGGCTTGAGTCCACCCTAGAACAGGCTTGACACCACAAGCATCACCATGGTCTTAGTAAAGAACGTTGTTTACTACAGTAGATGTCGTGCTGCTCTGCAGACTAATCTGTGTAGTCCACGCCTGCTTCCAAAACAGCCCTCCATATTGGCTATTAAGGTCTATAACAACAAGCTGGGCAGAAATTGGCCGATATTTTGGTACTATGGGAGAAGGTTGATGTTATGCTGCTTAGTTTGCTGTCAAAAATATCATGTATTCAGGAATCCAACAGAAGCCTGCTTGAGGAAATCGAGTGATGCTTAGCACTAAGGAGGCGGCACGGAGCGGCAGCCCGCAAAAAAAATCCTTCCGAAATTGCCTAAAACCGGAAAAAAGGGAAGAAAAAAAAAAAACAAGACACGCCGTTCTTAGAGGCATCGCCTTCGGAACGGGCTCCACCTTCTTTTTGGGGGCCCTGAGATCTGAGCTTCTGAGCGCGCAGCGCGTTGTCCAGATCCCGCATGGTGGCGCCGCCGTCGAGCCCGAAGAATTGGAGATTGGCCGCCTCGCCCAGCCTGCCACGTGACATGGGGCGGTCTCTGGTTGCAACTGAGGGCATGGAAAACATTTCACCTGTTTAGTGATACTAAAGTGAGCCATATCTGTGACTACTGTGGATGTCCTGGGCACAGAAAGTGGGCAACTTGCCAATTTTTCCCCTCATCCATGATCGGTACCGGTGTGAAGTGGAAACCGGCCGCTTCGCTCCTGTCCAGCTCGGCCAGTCTGCTGTGATAGAGCTGCGAGCCCTTCAGAAGCCGCTGGCCGACCTGTCAGAAATCGTGTCTGCAACGCGTCTCGGCGTTGCACCGGTTGGTTGGGGGACAGTCCCAACCCAAACCTCAGGATCCTTTCTCCGGCCAACATGGAACCCACCCGAGGGGCCCTTGCAAAGGATACCCTCCCCCAGACCATGGAAGCTCCCAGCACTTCGGAAGACTTGGTTCTATTCACAAAGGCCTTCTGGGAGCTTCCATGATAGTCTGAGGCTGTGAGGTTCCATGTGGACGGGCAGGTACAATCCCTTTGGGAGGGGCGCAGCCCCCGCCTCGTGCACGAAACCCCGCAGCTCTGCATTGCTGAGGCCTTCCAGGAACCTCAGCCACGGCTCCGAAGAAAATTTTCGGGGGGGGGGGGGTGAAGTTGGAGGTCTCCAAAACCCCCAAAGATGGGGTGGTCTCCTTCCAAAAAGAAAAGCGGCCGATCCATCAAAAAGGCACATGGAGTTCGCTTGATCTCCCCGAGAAACCCTGGGGTAGCGAGACAACCCTAGGCCCTCGCTTGGCATTTTCTTCTTCTGAAGCGTCCCGTAACTTCTTCACAGACTCGCCGTCAAAGACCGCCTGTCTGTCAGGCAGTCGTACCTATCAAGTCGTTGCTTTTGCTCCAATTCTGGACGCGACGGGCAAACTTCCTGACCACGAGCCAGCTACCCGCTGCAAAAAGAACAGTTTGAGGATGGTGCAACCCTTTTCGAACAGAAGACATCCGGTGGATTTCGTCCATCCACAGTAGCTCCAGTCTCTCGGGGCACCAAGGTCTCTGCCTCCCCGGAGTCTTTGGCCACCCTCACGATCAGCGGCCTGCCGTGCCTCACTTCGAGCCCTGGCCCCCAGGGATCCAACGGAAAAGAGCTCATTGCGGCCAAAACCCGGTGACCTCTTGTACCAACATGGCAGAAGATGCTTGTGCAAGCCAACAAAAAACTGAAGGTGAAAGGTAGCATCACCTGCTAAAACGACAAACAGAAATTGTGAGATCTGCTCTCTTGGAGATTCAGGTTGGTAGTTTCACTTGGTCACAAGAGCAAATGGGAGTCCCAATTCCGAAAACACCCACCCATATGCAACTTCTTTTGGTAAGGCGAGACACCTCCGAAAACGATTCATCACCCGAAGCCTCAAGAGAAGCTTCTTCCTCAAATGACTTGTTCTTGTTGGATTCCGTGTTGCTCAGGGAAGCAACTCAAAACCTGTAAGATGTTTTTTTTGCACTAGCCCCAAACCACTACCCCCACAAAGTGGAATAGCACCTTTATATGGCCATGAATGTTGATAGGGAACCACCTCAAAAGTGATTAGTGGACATGAATCCCCACCTAAACGATGTCCACCAAAGGGTCCCTTATTAACATTCATATCCATATAGTGGTTCTGTAGTTGTAACCTCCCCGCTGAAATCCTCTGGGGGAGGAAATGGCCATGGGTCAAAACCCCGTACTTTCAGTGAACATCAACCAATCCAACCACTAAAATAGGTTCTAAAATGGGTGGTGAATTCACCTACCAACCAAAATGGGATCCCATTGGTTTTGAACCATACCCAATCATTTTGAAAACCTCGTCACTTCCAAGGCTTAGGACCCAGGCTCATCCAGCGCCACGGTCTCGCCTTGAGGCAGACCTCGTGGCGCAACTCCCCCCGGTTTGTTTGGTGGGGGGTTGCAACTTTTTGGGGGAAAAATCAAAGGGGAGCCACAAGGATTTCAGAAGGACCCTATTTAGACGTTGGTACACAATATTGGGTCAAGATTCGAAGAAGAAGCCAAAAGGATGTGCAAGGGCCTCCTTGACTGCTCTTATTCAGGGATGCACTGCCTTGGAATGCAATTGCTGTTTTCCCCTAAGCAGCTATGTGACTCTTCGGTCATGTTGGACTCGTGTCATTGCTCTTGCCTGACATCATCCTTTCTCACGGTTCCCTTTACGCCCCTCCAAAACGTCTCCCCATCTGAAGGAAACTGCAGAAACCCATACTCATATTGATGGGGCCCGGCAGCTGTTTCTTCTGGCTGGTTTCAAGGGAAACGAAAGGGAACCGTTTCGCCTCGAAACAGCTGGTACCTATAGAAACCCTTTGAAACGGGCTGTTAAAGGTGACGCTTCATGTGACGATGCAATCCTTCACCAAGCCTGACAAACCGCTCCATCTTTGTTCGGGGACTTCCCAACCCCAGCTAAGACCGCAGCTGGGGCTCGCCGACTCGACGCCTCGGGCAGATTTGTCAAGAGCGCGGCAGTTTGGGACGGCCTTTGGCCTTGGTGTCTTCCATGGTTGGGGCTAAAGCAAAACCGCCGTTTTGGCGGGTGAAACCCACATGGACCAAGCCCGGCCAAATGCAAAAATATCTTTAGGTCATGGCCTCCGGTGCCTTGCGCACAGTGCTCCACAGCCTCGCGACCCGACGCTCGCGGCGCGCTCAGTGAAGAAGCGCGAGATGCGCCTCGTCGATGCTCGTGACCATGGCACCACACTCTGGGCATCTGAAGAAGGACTTGGCCTGCAACCGGGCGACAGGCTGTGATCTTTGCGAGTTGGAACCACCTCACAAGGAGTTGGTTTGACACGAATCCCCACCTAATTAAAACATGACCACCGACCAAACCTTGCCCCATTTAAAACTAGCACAAACCGGTCAGGCGATGAGGTGCAATGGCTGCCTGCAAATTCCTGACTGAGCTCGGACTTGCCACTTTGCCGCTGCCCTGCAGTGCGAGCCAACTTCCCGTGACTGCAACTGAACGTACCAAACCTCAACAAAGCACAAGACACGGTCAACTGCCTTGGGCGATGCGGAGGACGTAGGCGAGGCTGGACCCACAGCTACACCCTCAGATGCAGTGAAACGCATCCAGAGACTCGATGCACGTGGAAATCTCGGGCACTCTGAGAGTGGCATCATCAAGAAGTCTGGTGGTGCTGCTGTCTCTCCATTGAAAACCCATGCCTATTCTGAATGCGAAGAAGCAACAATGCGTAGTGGGGATCTCGGGTCAGCCGCACTTCCGTTGACAGCCTGCGGCTGTGCCAGTCGATCTCAAGGCGAGAAACAAACGAAAAAACTGGCTCGGCCTCAATATCAGCTCTCTTCCACGGCACATTATTTCGAAAGCCTTCCTGTTACACAATTGGATGCCAAGAAGCCTCATGCAAGTTGGCAAAAGCATAAAACGGGCAGCCGCGTGTTCCGTCGTGGCACCTGTGGGAGGGTATCCGGAAGATCAATTTTCCCTTGAGACCGTGTTTTCGTCAGTGGGAGGGTTGCTGCTGTGCGGCCTTGGAAATATCGACCTGCCCAGCACCCCCCACCAATTCCGTGTGTTCGTGAAACCGGCCGATTCACGCGTCGAAGAGGCTGACTGTGGCCACAGCAGATGGTGGGAATAGAGACTTAGCCTGCAGAGCGTCTTTGTAGAAATTCAACCGTCCATTCAAACGGGCCCCGCGTAAATGAAGATTCGTGGATGGCCTCCAGAAGCTTGTGCCGCCCCGGCTGGACTAACCCAAGCCCCCCACCCCCTTCCCCTGTTCCCAAAAAAGAGATCTTGACTCATGGCCAGCAACCAGGGCAAGGGGGATTGGGTTGAAGTTGGAGGATCAGAGTTCCACTATTTCACATTTGAACATCCACCAGGAGGAGACTCGCCCGTTGCCTCAGAAGGTGAGGCCAAAGAACAAACTGATTGCAGGAGTTTAGGACTCATAGCAAAACCCTCTGAACCAATCTGTCCTTTGTTTGACCCCCCCAAATGGCGCAACGGTTTTCCTTGAGCTTCTCCCACCAAAAATAGGTTGCCTCAAAAAACCGCCGAGCCACCCAGAACGGATTTCCCGATCGAGGGCCTGCGGGGCAGCACCCAAGGCCTAAGACTCCAAGAACTCGCATGGAAGCCGATGGCGTACGAGCACGCACCACCAAAACGAGGCGCACCGGGTGTTTTTGTTTTGTTGGTTTTCTCCGTGAAGAATGGCCCAAAACCCGCGGGGTTTTGAGAATCATAAGGGCTCAGGCCGAAGTTATTTATGGCTCGAACCTGCTCCCAACCTTCACTACCCTTTTGATTGGGCTGCCTTCAAAATCCAGCCAAGAAACAGAACGAGGAAGCCTGGGAGACGTGCCGGCTGAAGTGCCAACCTCAGGGTGAGCTGCCATGAACCTTTCTTCAAGTACCATGCATCTGGAAAAAGCCAAGCGTCAATAGTTCGGCCACCAACATTTCAACCTGTCTGATAACCTTGCAATTGACCCAATAGTGCTCGCAAGCAGTGGTTTTTATGTTTCTCTCTACTCGCTTGCCTGTGCGCCAGGGAAAGAAATGACGCGTGATACAGTCACAGTGGAATTGTTGGCTTAGATGTAGGGATGGAAAAATCCGCCAACATGACTCCCTGTGTCGGAAACGTCAATGACATACAGCCCCGCCAAAAACCTGGTTCCCCGGCCAGTTTGGGGTGCCGAAGCCATGTTGGGGGTGGCTAGGGTTACGCAGGCTTTAGTCTTTGGTTTCACTACCGAGGCGCCATTTTGGTACATTTTGAGCCACAGCCAAATGAGCTGCATGTACCCGACAAACCTCAACACAAACACGTGGGAAACCACGACGTTCGCAATGCTGGCGGCCTGAGCCGGAGAAAAAGTATCTGTCTGGCAAAATTGCTTGATGACATTCATGAGATTGTACCATGCTGTGTGGGAGTAGGAAGATGGTTGGTTAGACATGGTCAGAGACGGTGGAAATCATTGTTAGCACAAGAGTCATTTAAGCGCCTTGTACGTGGAAGCTGCATGTCAAGAACTTTAGGAATGCCTGAGCCTCAGGCCCTAGCCCGGTAAATGCGCAGCCTAACTTAGTGAAAGGCCGCTGTCAGGCCGCATGGAATACTACGCCTGAATGCCCCAAATTTACTGTCCCTTGGCTCAGCGTGTACAACGACTGACTGACCAGCACGAGTCTCGGGCGAGAAATTTCGTTGCGGCTGGCGGGCAAAATGTCAAATGCCGCTAGGCAACGCACTCAAAAATGGTGAACATGGGCTCAACCATACAAATGATATCCACCAAAGGGTCCGTGTCCAATCAAATTCCAGCCACGAGTCATGGGTTGCCTGCCAAGGAACGCTCGCTGGCACCACCCGCGTGGCAGACACACGCGTTGCAGCCTGGTGCTCAGGGGTCCTACTATCTTCTCTTCAAGCATCACCCCTGGAGGAACTCCGTTTTGATTGCAACCATGCGATGTTAAGGATGTCTTTGGCTGGCAATGTCCGGCAAAGTGTCCACTAAGTCTTCGTCCAATGTCTCCCGTGCGGGAGTAGCGGAGCAGGCGTCAACCTCGGATTGCCACTGGAGAGGCTACGAACATACTCAAGATAGCTGCAGTACGCCTCCAAACTTGGGCAAACCCAAGTTTTTTATGGCCAGACAACGGGTGTGGATTTATTTTGGGTTTTTCTTCCGGATTTTTTTGTTTTTCGTCCGGGCCAACAAAATGTCGTATTTTACAGCATTTTCTCGCGAAATTGACGCATTTTACACTAGCCCGTCAACATCCCCAGCATCGTTTTCAACATGACCAACATCCCTAGCATCACCAACAGATCGTGGGTAAATCAAACAAGTAGCTGGCGGGTTGCCGGGGTCAACAAAAATGATGATTCAATCCCTGTATTTAAAAAAAAAGCAGCGGGGGACGGCAGCCCCCCCATGATGTCGCAGAAGTGATGATTTGAATAGGAATGCAATTAAACAATTAAATAAAACGTAGCGGGCGGGGTTGGGGCGGCAGCCCCCCTATGATGTCGGAAGAAGTGATGATTCAAGTAGGGGTGCAATGATTCAAGAAAGGGTGCGATAGAATTTAAAAAGCAGCGGGGGGTGGCTTCCCCTATGATGTTGGAAGAAGTGGCTTCCCGCATCATCAGCATCACCAGTTCCGTTCTGGAAGGGTTCCATTGAATCATCACTTCTTCGAACATCAAGGGGGGGGAAGCCCGCCCCCCAACCCACCCGCTTACTGTTTAGATTGTTTGAAGAGTAATTGCGCCCCTGTTTGAATCGACACTTCTTCAAACATCATGGGGGGCTGCCGCCTCCCCCCCGCTACTTTTTAGATTTCTTGCAGAGATTGAATTGCACCCCTATTTGAATCATCACTTTTTCGAGCGTCCAATTTCGCGAGAAAATGCTGCAAAATACAACATTTTAGGTAATCTGTGTAATCTATGATAATCTATGTATGTGTGTATGTATGTCCAAAAACCAATGAAAGGGTGCAAAAGCCAAAAAGCCCGGAGAGGAACTGGGAAAACAGAGGATGCGAAAAGCCAAGCTGCATAAACCAGCGAAAAGCCGCAAAAGTAGAGGATGCGAAAAACCAAAACCAAACAGCCACCAAAAGCCGCATAAACCAACAAAAAGCCGAAAAGCCCAGAAGCCGAGAGGCCAAAAAGCCAAGAAGCCAAGAAGCCAAGAATCCAAAAGCGAAAAAGAAGAAAAAAACTCCCTAGACAACACTCCCTGGGAACTCAAACAACCCTCATATGCGGAGGAATCTCCTTCTGGACCCTTGCTGGGGTTGTACGTGCATCTTAGATGCCATCAAACACACACACACACACACACACACCGCCCGCGAGCCCGCCCGCCTACGCACGCGCTTGAGAGAGCAACAGGTAGTCACTGGTTTTTCGGCGTGTTCAAAGGACATTGCGGCAAGCTATTCTCAGTACAGTCCCAAGGTGAAGGTCGGAATCAAGCTTCACTTTAGTTAAGTCACAGGGGGGAACGCACAAGCAACAGCAAGTCAGCAGAGGGGACCAACACGACATTGTGCTACGAGCAGGTACAGGATCTTGCGCTTCAGTTCCCTTCCCATCTGCAACGGCAGCTTTTTTGCGCAAGGTAAGTTGCAAACACAGCGCGCCCCTGTTGATTGATGTTGTGCGATTGGCAAGAGATTTGCGAACCGGAAGTCTATTCAGGACAGGCATCCCTCTTGCATACAGCTCACATGATGATGCTGACTGACTCAACTGTTTTCATGCTTGGTTCTAGCATGTTGCGCCCACACACACACACACACAAACAAACAAACAAACAAACAAACAGACAAACAAAGAAACAAACAAACACACACACACAACCACGTACGCGCGCACACAAGCACGCACACACACCCGTCTCCCCGCCCGCCCGCCCCGCCCGACTGCCCGCACTTGCGTGCGCGCCCACACACACACACACACACACACACACATGCACAAGCATACACGCTCTCACGCGCACACCTATATACACCTACACGCACGCACGCACGCGCACACACACACACACACATGTAGCTACACACGTGAAGTGCAAATAGGCCGCTAGTTTCCTGGATGACCCAGCCTCAGCCGCACGCCCTCACGTTTGTCATGCACAGAACAAAACACGGCACTTTGACAGTGCCTGCACCTGTTGAGGCCTAGCACTGATCCAGTCTCTGGGATCAAAAGACTGCACCCTCAATAAACATCCCTGTCAGCATCAAACAGCTAAGCTCAGTGGCCAACAATGCAACATGTACCACAAGCTTCATAGGTGCAGAAGAGCAACAACTGCAGCCTTGGTGGGAGATGGCGGTGCGGCAGACATGCTGGCTGCAACCTCAAATAGGTTCGGGTGCTTCTGTCCCGACGACAACGACGACCTGGCTTCCGCATAGCTAAGCTCTGATCTGCCGAATCTCTTGCTGGCCCCACTATATAGGATGACGAAGCCTCAGCTTGTGATACTCCAAACCAACAAGCTCAACTGACGTCTTGGCAGACATCTCTTTTTCTTTGGAGGTGCAATTCGAGGGGTCAACATCAAAAAGCAAGCAAGCCCTTCATCCTAGACTCAGCGACTGAAACATGCACCACGCAATTGGCAATGTGCAGACAAGCAACAACTGCAGGCTTGGTGGGAGATGGCGGTGCTGCAGACATGCTGGCTGCCACCTTGCATAGGTTCGGGTGCTTCTGCCCCGACGACAACGACGACCTGGCTTCCGCATAGCTAAGCTCTGATCTGCCGAATCTCTTGCTGGCCCCACTATATAGGATGAAGAAGCCTCAGCTTGTGATACTCCAAACCAACAAGCTCTCTTTTTCTTGCTTTGGCTGTGCAATTCGGGGTAGACCATCCGGTCAGCCTCAAAAAGAAAGCAAGCTCTTCATCCTAATCCTGACTCAGCGACTGAAACAAAACATGCACCACGCCATTGGCAATGTGCAGACGAGCAACAACTGCAGGCTTGGTGGGAGATGGCGGTGCTGCAGACATGCTGGCTGCCACCTTGCGTAGGCTTGGGTACTTCTGCCCTGACGACAACGACGACCTGGCTTCCGCATAGCTAAGCTCTGATCTGCCGAATCTCTTGCTGGCCCCACTATATAGGATGAAGAAGCCTCAGCTTGTGGTACTCCAAACCAACAAGCTCAACGGATGTCTTGGCAGACAAAAGAGAGCTTTGGCTGTGCAATTCGGGGTAGCCCATCCGGTCAGCCTCAAACAGCAAGCCCTTCATCCTAGACCCAGCGACTGAAACATGCACCAAGCAATGGAAATGTGCAGACGAGCAACAACTGCAGGCTTGGTGGGAGATGCCGGTGCAGCAGACATGCTGGCTGCCACCTTGCATAGGTTCGGGTGCTTCTGTCCCGACGACAACGACGACCTGGCTTCCGCATAAGCTAAGCTCTGATCTGCCGAATCTCTTGCTGGCCCCACTATATAGGATGAAGAAGCCTCAGCTTGTAACAATCCATGCCAGTAAGCAAGACCTAATCCCGTCTTCATCCGTAACAGACATCTCTGCTGGCTTGAGTTGTAAGCTTTGATGCCAGCCTTCATGCTAGACGCAGCTACCCACAATGAAGCCTTCATAACACAAACGATATGTGCAAACGAGCGACAACCGCAGACTTGACTGGAGATGCCGGTGCGGCTGCAGGCACACTATGTGTCGCCTCACATGGGGTTGTCGGCGTAGGGTGCTCCCCAGGTGGGACACGCCGATAGATCTCTCCACCCATATCTTTCCGGCTCATGTGACTCATGTGCTAATATAAATTCTAAGCTTCGATCGGCTTCTCTCGCTGCTGCCAAGAAAGGAGCGCTAGCCTTGTGTGCTTCTGAAACTCGCAAAAGCACTGACTCACAGCTATGTTCACTTGGTCAGCGCTCACAGCATGCTTAAATCTTGTCCCGACTTCGAAGTGCTACCCTTTTGCGGCAGGCTGATCATTGACTCGACAGCGCAATCCAACAAAGCGACCGTGGATGGAATTGAAGATGTCGGTGAAGCCGGAAGCCCGCAGCTTCCAGCCTCGCAAGAAAGCTTGGTGATCGCACGGCGTAATTTCCCTGAGGGCCAGCAAGCATCCCTGTCCACCTTAGTCTTTCCTTTGAGTTGGTACCCTTTTCGGGGTTTGACACGTCAAAGGGAACCCAACCCCGATTGTGGAGGCGAAACAGCGATCCAAGTCGAACAAATACCATTTGGGCCAGCCAACAAAGAACTCACCCAGACTTTCCCTGACTTGGGCTGTTGCAGATGTATCCTTCCGCAAGCCCAGCGCACCCTAAGCCCTGATTCCCCGACCGAGCCTTCGGATACGGAGCGCTGACCTCAGAGCTTGAGCTTTTCGCTTCGAAGTCGTCAGATCTGGGCTCCGGGCTCTCATGGATCCAGCCTGGTCACTGAACCACTGGGTCCATGTTAAGACCCAGAAGTTGGAACATGAAACGTGGTGGTTTAGAGGGGAACGATCATCCCCCTCAAAGTGTTCACGCTAAAGGATCCACGACGAAAACTGGACAAAGCGTTGCAGGGGAAGAATATCAAGCACTGATTAGCGGATCTCCGCTGCCTGAATTCTTTACCTTTGGGTTTTGGCTAGACTTTGAGTCGCGCTTGAGTCGCCACTTCCGAAGCAGTTCATTCAGCTTCACGGACATCTTTGCACTGGCAACGCAAAGTGACAAGTCCCCAGTTGCCCTTTGGAATAATGCATGGCGCTGGTAGAGGCAACCAAAGAAAGATCCATCAATTCCAACTGAACTGACCTGAAAACGGCACCTCTGAATTCATCCCCAGCAAGCCTGCAGACCAGGTGCATTCGCCTGCAAGCCATGCAAAGCCATGAAAGCCCCGCTCGCTGAGTCGTCCGACTGTCGCTCCTCAAAAGGTACCGTCAAATGGGTTTGCTTTTTCTGATACCCTTGTTTTTGTTTTTTGTCTTTTCCCCCGAAAAACAGGGCCAAAGAAAAGCCATCCCAGTTGTGCCACCGGCACGCCACAAAACGAAAACACATTCCCACGCCTCCGCCAGGCGAGGTGCCGGGAAAAGCAGGCTCGGGCGAGAATTGCCCTGGACATCTCTTGCGGCTCGGTGTGCTTTTGGAGTAAGGGAAATCAAAGGCAAGCTGAAGCCCCTTCTTGGGGATAGCCATATTCGGAGACAAAGAAAAAACTACACGGCGAAGTTCAAAGTCTCTTGTTGCCTCAGGGATATCCAAGCGATGTCGCGCCGCATGTGCCATGTGTCAAAATAGGGGGACGAAAAAAGGATGGCGTTCCAGTGGAGAGACACAACTCCATGCGCACATCGGCCGATGCCTCGTCCGCGCTTTGGACCGCGGCAGGAAGAAGGACTCTGCCTCCCTGCGGACCCGAGCTTGGATTTCTGTGTTTTTTGTTTTCTTTTTTTGAGGGCACCCTTTTGAGGTTGGTTTAAAGGGAAACCAGAGGGGAAAACCACCTTGTCTTGGAGGTCCTCAATTTTGACATGTATCCAAAGAACTGGCGCAAAATAGGCTTTTGAACAATGCGTTGGTTTTCGCATTGATTTCCCTGAAAAACAACGTATCAACTCAAAAACATGAATCGTCCAAGGCTAGGGCTGGCGGAAGACCTTTGGTATCCACTTCGGCCTCGAGCCACGTGCCAGGCGTGCTTGGTCCAAGCTTCCCCCATGCCTCCGCCTCTTTTGCTTTCTGGTTGATCCTGCCAGGAAAGCGTGTCAAGACATAAACCCCCACCCAGTCTTGCCTGCTTCCAAAGAGCCTGTTTCTCAGGTTTGCTTGATTTCTTCATATCACGAACCCACAAAAGAAAAAGACAAAATACCATTTGGGGCATGCCTACAACCCCCAAACAACTGTGTGGGCAACCACCATGTGCCGCCATCTGAGGGGCATATATACCCCATTTAAGCTCAAGTCGCTGAGCTGCCCAAATCGCTTCGCGCGCACCGATGTTGCTGGCAACAGTCCCCACCCCGGGGTTTTTGGCCGAAGAGACTCGCTCTTTGCCTCAGCCTGGGATCCGCCAGGGAGAACCAGACCCCTGGCTTCTTGTCCAACTGCACTTGCTTGGCGCCAGAGTCAACATTCACCACCTCAGCCCGACAGGTTTTGAAAACACAACACGAAGAGGGGTCAGCCAGTTCTGTAAAATCAATAGGCAACTCCCGAAAACCGGCAGTTGTTTCTTTTCAGGGGAAGCCTCAGTCAATCATAGAATCATAGTGGCATTCAACGTGCATTTGCGAACACATGGGGTCCCCGCTTTCGCTCGGATCCAATCACCATGGGTGGTGGACAGATATTGCACTCGAGAGCCCTCGATTCCTGCCAGGCTTTGCCATGTGATATAGTATGAGCTCAGCGGAAACAAACGCGGCAAAACCCTAAAATGTGGATGCCGCGGAAACTAGGGTGTTGTTTCTCAAAATAGGGGGCCAAAGAACAAAAAGTGGCTGGTCTGTTTTTGGTGTCCTTCTGCATCCATCCAAAAAAGTTGGTTTTTCACCCCCATGGTCTGCTTGTCACTCGCAAGGTGTCGATCACCACGGGTCCTGGCGCTGTCGCCCTGACCAGGACACGAGCCCCAAAAGCTATGACCAGTCCACGAGAACGGTGAAGAACCCCAGCCAAGTCCCTTCAGTCGAAAGGTAGAAATCCGGGACTTACCGTCCCACCAACATGGAAGTTCACCAAGCCCCTTTCCAAGAGGAAAGTAGTCTTTCTTCAGGGGTCTGTGCATTTCCAAGTCGGTGGGAGGGTATTTGCTGGGGCTATTAACCACTGGAGTAAGTGGGAAGGGTTCTTCAAGCCTGGCCTTGTGTCTCCTTGCAATCTGGTAGGTACTTCTGACCTGCACGCCACATCTTGGGGCTCTCCGGATCCTTGAAGCTAAAACATGCTCACGGCACTGGCCTAATACCTCCTTGTGAGAGAACTTTGCTTGGAGAACCTGGGCTGTAGTAAGTACTCACTCCACGCACGCTGCGCACAAATAAGGCCGCCGGCTCAAATTATGCCGTTCTGCAACGAACGTCCTGACCGGATGCTCCGTGTCACTTCTCGTGGTTGCTTGAAAGCGAGTCGAAAGGATACCACCGACATGGTAGGTTTCTGCACTTCCCCATGTGAAGACAACCTCAATTGACACGTTCCCCCGTGCCTGTGCACCACATGAGGACCGTCCATCCCTGCGTATCTTCCATTCTGAACTGTCATGGCAGCGGCAGCAGAAGCACCAAGAAATCAAGCAGTAAGAAAACAGCATGGAGGAAGAGGCAATTGATTCCTTGGTTGCCTGTTTCCTAGTAACGTTCACCTGTCCCAACAACAACACCTTGCAAGGGAACAAATTGTGTGTCTCAACATAGGGGACCTTTGAAAGGGTTGGCTTGCTTTGGACGTTTGGCCCAAGGCCTTCATGATGGCGCGGCCATTGGTGGGTGCTGCCTATGAGGACCTGGGAGTCAGAATTTTCTGTGCGGAGCTCTGAGAGGTTCCACCGCTGCATGCCAATCCCACGCATGTCTGAGGCTGCCTACTAGGCAAAGCCACCTGTAGGTCGGTTGAGGTGTTCTTCTCTCTGCCGTTTCACGCATTCGAGCAAAGCCGCTCCTGAACGTAGAGGCATTTCACATGTGTGTGTGTGTGTCTGAGTCAGCGTCGGACAAAGTGGGAGAAAATCTGTAAAGCTGTCAACAACAAAACCTGCCACTGCGACGGAATGAGCTGAGGGATGCAGCAGCAAAAGTTGTCTCGGGTCATGCGACATCCTTTGGAGCCCACAAGCGCTGCGCCTCACATCCGGTGCCTATTGCTTTTTCCTTTTTGAAGGGAGTCGCAACAAACGGGTCCAAACAAAGGCATCGTCTTATTGAACCAACCCTCTCTCCAATTGATCAAGGCGACAATAGCCATCCCAAGCAGTACATCGATCTCTTCTCTGGGTCAACTGCAGCAAGTCTCGTGCAGCTTGAGAGTTTGAGACAGGGAGAGACAGAGAGACAAAAAGAGAGACAGAGAGAGAGAGAGAGAGAAAAAAAAAAAAAGGAAAAAAACATGGCATCACGCCAGCGCACATACACCTTCAAACAACTCGATCAGACAACTGCACCCACATCTCACATCTCAAGCCAAGGTCCTCTTGCCAATCGACAGTTTTTGAAGCAAACAGACTGTGGTTGAACCTATCAACCCTTAAACCATTGGGCGCCGCATTAGCTGACAATTTCTCAGTCTCCCCCTTTGGGTCCACGCTTCGGGCTTGTCCAAGCAAATAAGATATGAAACCTCCGAACTTGGTCATTATCCGCGTGATCCCTTGCGAACCCAAAAAATGTAGCAGCTCCAAAATCCACCTGTGGTGTTGCTGTGTCCAGCGCCCATTTTTGTTCGTGTTCCTACCAAACAATATAAATGAAGAACAATGCGCGGCTTTCTTCCCGCGGCGCGGGCGCATCTCCAGCTCCTTCAGCTAGCCGGAGCCTCGGGGGAAAAAAAAAGGCTTTCACACCCTTTAAAAGAGGTCCATAATGTTGACGGCCCCTGCTCCTTTCTCGTGGTCTGAAAGAGCAACAACCAGAAATGTTGACGACTCCGCACAGAACTCTGATACCTTCATTTCCGCAAGCAAGGCCTTCGTCTTGGTCTTCTTGCGTACCTTCGGAGCTGACTTTGCCTGTGCCTGAAGCGCTTGCTCAAGAAACACAGCAAAAGCCTCAAGAAACACAGCAAAAGCCTCATGCCCAAAGTTTCGCATCAAGAGCACTGTGCAAGTGGAAAACATCATACAACCAGCCTCGCTGGATGCTTTTGCCGAATAAGTCTTGGCTTTCGGCGAAGGCTTGACTTTCGGCGAAGGCTTGGCTTTCGGCGAAGACTTGGCTTTCGGCGAAGACTTGGCTTTCGGCGAGCTCGTCTTGGCCACTTTCGTCTCTTGGACCGCAGCCTGTGGGGCTTCTTTGGTCTCCTTGGCCTCGCGATAGTTTCATAGCGAATCATGCACCGTCCGATCCAAGGAGGCGGCCGCCACCGTCTCCACATGTCTTTGGGCTGATGCCTTCGTCGGAATGCCAGGAGTCAAAAACAAACTTTCCCTCTCACGCCTCTGCAGCATGCGCGAAGTGGTGAACAATTCGCTTGGCTGCCTTGGATTGCAGAAGCAGCCATACTGCAAATGCTGCCAAAATGTTCGTGGCAAAGCGTTGGGAAACTTTAAATGAACTACCACGGAAGAGAAATGTGCTCCAAATCCTCAATAATAAGGAACAATGTCTATGATCAACCAAGCCTGTTGCCTAGGCAACTGCAGCAACGCATTGCACGATGCCGACTTACTTTCATGCAGATCAGCTTACATCCACGTCCACGCGAAGTCGATCGCGGGACATCTCCTTTTCAGCTGCCTCAGTGCGAATCAGGCCCAAACTGCTCGGAGGTCATCCAGAGTGGGCCGTTTTGGAGACTGGAGGGGCTGAAACTGGGTTCCACTTTTTGATTGCCCAAGATAAGCTTCAGTTTTGGCTGCATCAAAATCGGAAACTCTGGGATGAAGTCTCAACCAAAGAAAGGAAAATCCAGACAGCTTTTCTCAATCAGCCAGCTGAGATCCACACTCCTTCTGCGGTCGTTCGCACCTTTTTGAAGTAAACTTGGATCCGATCCAATTCCTGCCGGTCAGGGGGCCATTCCATACTCAAAACTCAAAACTTCCAGCAGGCGGGCCCAGGTTGTGGCTACCTCGAGGGCCTTTCCATTTGTTGTCTAAAACCCCTAAGAGGCTGATGACCATCCCTGCCCACAAGGCCAACGTTGCTTGTTGCCCCAAGAGAACATGGGAAACTCGTGGGTCTGCTGGCTCTTGTCGGGGATATTTGGTGAGTTCCCCATGCCCCTCCCAAGCGAATCACTGACTGCCGGTTCGGTTTTACCGTCGCATCATGCGCTGCTCCATGGCCGCTTAGTCGACTGCCGGCGGATACGCAAAACGAGCAACCAGGTGGCGAACACACCTAACAAATACCACAAGAGCGGTTCTGCGGAGCTGCGCTGCAGCTTCCGGAAATGGGAATGACAGCCATGCCCGCTACCTTGCGGCCGGGCAGCCAACTGCCTCACGCTCACACGCTTTCCTGATTGTTCAAGCGTTGTGTTTAACCATACACAGATTGCAAAGGGCACAGGCACTCATGAAAAGCAAGCCTCGTGCGACATTCTGCGCGGCACAACACAGCGAGCAAACCAGCACCCAACCCGTCGTGCGGATGCAGAGAACACATTGCAGTCAGCGAGCTGCCAACTTTCTCAAAGTCAAGCCACCTGAGATGTTTGCGATCCGTCACCTGAGACCTTTGTGACCCGCACACGCGCGGCGTTGGAAAACTGCCGTAGCACCATTGAATGCATGACACCAGCCACCCAAGCCACCACAGAAACCACCACTTCCAGGAACTTCTCGTTGCAACACTGCACCTAATCCTAACCTCCAGTAATCCTGCACGACCAACAAGGTATCATCATCATCATCATCATCATCATCATCATCATCATCATCATCATCATCATCATCATCATCATCATCATCCTCATCATCATCATCATCATCATCATCATCATCATCATCATCATCATCATTATCATCATCATCATCACAATCAGAGGGCACACAAACACTCCTCATCAACGTCTTGTCCGCGAAGCAAACCACCATGTTGACTATCACCATACTCTGCCGCTTCATGCGGTCTATTGCAGACACACACACACTTATCTCGAGAGGCTGCTCTTGCAGACACGCGATTGTACTGAAAGGGCATGAAAAAAAATCAATCTGCAGTGCAAATTAGGTCACGAAAGGATGGCAGGTACGCCGGAATGGCCAATTCCGGTATCCCGTCTTGCTGCCTAGCTTTGTTAGACCAGGTCAGCAGCAAGACGCCTGGTCCCCCTGCTTAACGTCCGTGTTCCAGGACGGTTCACACACACAAGGCCCCGGCGGGGCGGACACGAACCACACAGAGGGAATTCCACCAGGGGGCCGCCAAAAACCCCGCGGCAACAGCAAAAGAATTTCAAGGACAAAAAACCGGGCGCACAAAACCAAGCAGAGGGAATTCCACCAGGGGACCTCCAAAAACCCCCGGCAACAGCAAAACATTTTCAAGGACGAAAAACCCGAGCGCACAAAACCAAACCGAGGGAATTCCACCGGGGGACCGACAAAAAACCCCGCGGCAACGGAAAAAGGTTTCGCAAGGCGTCAATGGTGCAAATGCATGCGAGCACAAAGGGGTTCTCAGAGGTGCCTGTCAAGTGGCCTCATGAAAGTGCCTCATGTGGCTATGCCGATGAATCTGAACTGAACTCATGAATCTGAACTGAACTCATCCGAGACGAAAGCTTCCATAAACACCACGAATTGCAGAGTTGGTGTATGACCAACTCGTCACTGGCGCATGAAGCTTAGGAACCTGAAACCTCGTGGGTGCAGCCTTGCTTCAAAGGCAGGCAGTGCAGGCAGTGCAACGCGCATGAAACCAGCAGAGCACCATTTGGGTGCGGAATACCTTAAGACCTCAAGCTGCAGCCTTGATCGTGGTCAAACGCGCTGAACGGCAGGTTGAATTTGAACGTATGAACGGTCTTCCCCTCGCAGGGGGCTCCCGCATGTGGCGAGTCCAGCCCACAGCGCCATGTCGGACAGGCCGTGGGTAAACACACTTATCTCGAGAGGCTGCTCTTGCAGACACGCGATTGTACTGAAAGGGCATGAAAAAATCAATCTGCAGTGCAAATTAGGTCACGAAAGGATGGCAGGTACGCCGGAATGGCCAATTCCGGTATCCCGTCTTGCTGCCTAGCTTTGTTAGACCAGGTCAGCAGCAAGACGCCTGGTCCCCCTGCTTAACGTCCGTGTTCCAGGACGGTTCACACACACACACACACACACACACACACACACACGTAGCACTTCTTTTTTAGCCAGTCAAAAAACGACCTGACTCCCAACCTGGCTCTCAATCAATCGAAACAGCACTGGAATTGAGACAGCGGACCAGTGGCTTTGACCGAACCGCTGTCTTTCTCTCTCCTGGCGGATCGGATGATCGGCGGGGTCAACTCCTTACAGGACGTTCGTCAAAGGCCGCGGCTTTCAAAGGAAAATGGATCAAGGCGCCCCACCCCAACCTGAGAAGCTTGTTCCACTTCTGAATGCCTTCTGAGAAAGTAGGGGCATCCTAATGTCTCCCGAAAAAATCAAATTCACAGATTCCTTCAAACGCATGCGTCCTTGTGTCAGCAAGTGACAGAAGTACAGCGACGCTGCCGCGTACGCCAAGCTGACCTACGTCAAGCCAGGACAGCTCGCATGTCGGTCGTATCTGCGCCTGTAGCTCCGCGTTTTCCAAAGCCTCCAGCTGCCGAGAGACCTGATCAACATAACCCCGGGACCTCCTTTCCTCTTCCTTCGGAGCTCCAAGGAGACCGGCCTCTTTGGAGTTTTTCGCCAGCAAAGGAGCCAAATGCTTCTCGACCTGGAGCTCAATTCGCTTTTTCTTGCTGCAGGTTGCACACTAAGAGCGGGGCTGACTGCAAAGAGCTCTGAACTGCTGCGACCTGCACTCACTGCTCGGCTGGCAAATTGCAGAAATGGTTAAATGGAAAATACCACACTAAGCGGGAAAAAGGTCCAGAGTTGGACAATCGCATGAGATGAAGCTTCATGATAAGCCAAGTGAACACCAAGAAAGTCAGCAGCACATGGCTTCTTGCAAGTGTCATCTTAAACATCAACTAAGCTACTCGCAGGAATGCAACTAGAATCCAACCTCTGCTTCGCAAGATTGCGCCCGTCAATGCCAACATCGTCATCATCATCATCATTTGCCAACCAGCCTTGGCATGGGTTTCTGATGCGAGTAACGACATGGCTGGGAGGGTGTGTGCGTCAGCCCTCGTGTTTGCAATTGACAAGTCCGAACACGCAACTTGCCACTTGGGATCTACAACGCTGGCTTAAAGTCTCGTGAGCCTCTGTACATGGTGGAATCAATACGTGTCAATTGCACTCGGCCGTGAATTTCATGGTGCCTGCGTCCTGTGCTGCAGGAGTCAATGCACGTTCCTGCTGAGCCATAGATTCAAAGCTGCACAAATAATATGTACAACTCTGGCTAGCATCCACGCTCGCAGCAAGCCAGAAGCTCTTTTGCTGCCTTCTACGTGGTTGGTCCAATCCTGCTTGGGTCGTTCCTCAGTCTGGAACGATGCAGCAAAACCTGCGTATAGCCGGTTGCAAATGTGGGTCTGATTCTTGCATGGTTGGTCCGATCAGGAATACTGAATACTAGGTGGGGTTTATGCTCAGCCATGTTTGAGGGGACTTTCCACTAAACCGATTTCGAGGGACTTCATGTCCACCTGATTTGAATTTCGTGATGTATTCCAACGGCTAAACTTCATAGGTTAGCTAGGCTCAGTAGACATGTGCTAGTGAGGAGCTGAAAACCCGCACGGACGCTGGTGACGATGATTTGGACGGTGCGACGGACGGGCGAGCGACGGAAGACGACAATAGGCAATTAAAACTGACACTCAATTAGTCTACCCCGAAATAATAATCAGCCGCTCCGAGTTGACTGGGATCGTGCAAACCATATTTAATAAGCTCAGGTGATATCCCCAACAGCATGCGGTGCTCCGTTTAGTGCTCGCACCACCTGCAGCCCTCGCAAAACCTCGTGAAACCCTCGTGGAACCCTGGTGGAACCCTCGTGGAACCTTACCTCAGGGCCGCCCCAGACCACCCCGACCCCAAAGCTTCCAGCTGTTGGGGAAAAATCAGGCGCCTCATGGCCATGTGAGCCCCGAGAGCACAATCTGGGGAGTCCTCAGTTTCTTACCTGTGGAGTCTCAGGCGCAGTTGCAGCATCAGGTCCAGCAAGTGCAAAGCCTCGTGGATGTCAGCCTGTCAAAAATATCCGGTAAAGCCGTGGGGCCAATGCCGCGGTTTCCAAAAAACAAAACGAAAAATGCCAGTTGCGTGGTCACACCTTAGGCCAATGAGGAATCTTTACGATGGTTTCACTTCCCCACTGGGTTAATGTCTCGGCTTTGACCAAAAGGACGTGCACCCCCAAAAGCAGGAACATATTAAAACAGCTTGGCCACACAAAGGGTATAGCTTAAGCCTTGCCTGTAGCAGTAACTCTTTACCACCAATTTACCTCAAATTTCACACCAATTGTGTGGGTTATTTACCCCCAATAGTGTCCAATTTTGTTGGCTATTTACCCCCAATTTTGTTGCTTATTTACCCCCAATTTTGTCGGTAATTTACCCCCAATTCGTTGGGTTATTTACCCCCAATTGTGTGGGTAATTTACCCCAATTTGTGGATAATTTACCCCAAGTTTGGGACTCGTTATTAACCCCCAATTTTGGAAATGTGGGGGTTAATAACGAGTCCAAAAATTGGGGGGTAAATCTTCGTATACCGTTGGGAAACCTGATTTACCCCCAATTTTTGGACTCGTTATTTACCCCCAATTTCCAAAATTGGGGGTTAATAACGAGTCCCAAACTTGGGGTACATTATCCACAAATTGGGGGTAAATTACCAACAAAATTGGGGGTAAATTACCCACACGATTGGGGGTAAATAACCCACAAAATTGGGGGTAAATTACCGACAAAAATTGGGGGTAAATAACCAACAAATTGGGGGTAAATAACCCACAAAACTGGGGGGTGAACGTTCCGCAAAATTAGGGCAAATGTTGCCGAGTCGGTAAGCCTGTACAGCCCCTCCTTGCCCGCGTAAAGAAGGCATGCAATTTACTGATAGAGGCAAGCCCTAAGGTATAGCCACCCCTTCCCCCCACCAATTGTAACTTGGGGGTTTTCGGGGGTAGTGTTTTTCTTCCTGGTAACATGGATGCATCAGACTGGTGCCAAAAACACGCCTTGACTCTGGCGATCCGCTTGCTCTTCAATTCCAGGCCCTTCATCAAGTGCTGCTCCTGGCCCGCGTGAGCCACGGATGCGGCTTGAGGGCATCCAAAAACTGGGATGTACCAAGGGGACCGCAGGTTTTAGTCCTTGTTTCCAACTACCAGGGCCACACATTTTGGGTACCTTGTTTTGACCCCATGTTTCGGGCCCTGGTTGAAATAAATCTGGTGGGGCCCTCCCTCTGTGCTCCCCAAGCCAAGAATAGAAATTCAACAGGCAGCTCGCGTCACGCGCCTCTGCGCACAACATTGCATGTGTGACAAGTACAGTAGTTTGGAATCAGCCTTGCTAAGATTCCAGCTCAGGCCTTCTCAAGAGTCAGTTGAAAAAGGAGACCACGGGCAATGCTTGCAGTCTCAAATACCAAACTGCACAGCTAATCCCAACAGAATAGCACAACTGAGGAAAGGTCAAACTGCCACAGTCAAACCAGTAAAGGTGATCCATACAATATTCGCCTCGGCCCCCAGGGCCGGGAAGCGGTCAGACCCCAGAGCCTCTTCCAGCTTTCCGTGCCTCGCATTGGGTGGGTAGGCCGTGGAAAGCTCGGCGTTTTTTCGTGTTTCGTACACTTTGACAGCAAGTCCGGCGAGTCAAGCAAGTCTAGCGAGTCCAGCGAGTCAAGCAAGTCTAGCGAGTCCAGCGGGTCCAGCGAGTCCAGCAAGTCCAGCGGGTCCAGCGGGCCCAGCGGGCCCAGCGGGTCCAGCGGGTCCAGCGCAAAGCCCGCGCTCAGGCCAGGGAGCCCAACAAGTCCAGGGAGTCCAGCCCAGTCGGGCGAGCGCCAAAGTCCAGCAAGTCCCACCTCTGAATCATCTCAGTTGGAGCTTGTCCATCAAAGGTCCAGTTGTGCACATGGATGCACCGAGGAATATAGACTCCTCCGAGGTGACCATAGCACATGCAAGGAAAAGTATCCTGCGTTTGCGCGGCTCAGTTTGGCGGGGACCACGAGTTTCCCCGGCATTCTGCGTGAGCGACGGTGGATTGACGAAACTTAGTCGCGAAAAGCTTACCCGGGTGTTTTGCGTGAGCGACCGTGGATTGACGGAGTCTACCAATCTACCCGTGAAAAGCAATGAATCGCCACCGCCCTACGAGCTCCTTCGTACTTCGCGTACATATTCGGCTGCGCGGGCTGGCAATAGAACAAGGGGTCGGGGCCCAACAAGTTGGACAAACATCTGCTTTTTCATCGCGGGTTCGTCCAGCTGATGAGCCCCAGTTTCTTGACCGTCCGTCTATTTTGCGTGCAGCTTCCTTCTTCCAAGAAGGACATGGCCACACGACTCGAAGTGTCCGTTGCACGTCCCCCCCCCAACCCCTGTCGCGCGGCCAAAATCCTTGCTCCAGCTGCCTCCAGTCCGCCTGAAGATACCCCCCTGCAAATCACATCACCTTACAAACCAGTCAAAGCCTCTCAAGACCCCAAGCGTTTACAATTGTCGGAAAGGGATCAGAAGAGAGTCGGATCGGAGATCCCTGAGAAGCAGCTGAAAAACGACATGTCCCATGCCTCATGTGGCACTCTGCAAGGCTTGCAACTTTAACGGTCGGTGTCAGCAAGCAGCGTGGGTATGAATTTCAATTGGGGACCCTTTGGCGGATATCATTCAAGATTGTAGCCGTATGACCTTATCTCTACATTACATAGAGCTACCAGCTACCAGCTACCCTACACTTGGCAGTTCCCCTTTTGGAGCCTTCTCCCTTTCGGATTTCCTTGAAAAACGACAGACAGACACAAACCCAACCTGCGCTCCGATTCATTCCGCGCGCGCCTTATCCTTGAGGAACTCCGCAGCTTCCGCCAAGGGCATCTCAAGTCGGAAGCTGAGGCCTCGCCGACGGGTTTTTCTTGACAATCATCGAAGCCAAGAGCGACAAACCTTGGTGGCGTTCTGCTCCCCTAAAAGTGTAACTTCTTGTGATTTGATGAAAAACCCATTAGTTGGCAAAAAGTTCAAGTCCTAACATTCAAGCAAAATGCACCAAAGAAACCCCCTTTTCCGTCAAGTGCTCGCCTTGCTTCTTTTGTAGAAAGCCTTTAGAGGAGGGAACATAATGTTGACCCCCTATTAATCAACCCCTGTTTATTAATATGGGGGTGTTCCCCTCCAAAAGTGATAAATCCCCACTAAAACCAGGGACACCCCCTATTAATAAACAGGGGTTGATTAATAGGGGGTTTCCATTGTGCGGTTGCCTGTGGTTTCCTGTTTGCTTAAGCTTTCGGAGCTCCCGAAAAAGGTACCAACTCCAAACGAGGCATGAAAGACACACCCCGCACGTGTCTCAAGCTGAATCACGGAAGCAAGAAAAGCCAGCTGCCTACGTCCACAAAGATGGTACTCGTGTCAGGCACGAAGGCCTTCACAAAGAACCTGACTGGCGAAGGACAAGGGAGAAGAGTCAAAGACATAGCAGAGAAAATGGTGTGCTTCCAAAACTGCGGGACACGAAAAGAGTTTGATTTCCCGCCTTCCAAAAGGCGGTCCCTAGATTTGGAAACATGAGCGTGAAACTTTTGTATTGAGCCCCAGACTGACATCCCAGCTCGACAGTTGTTTCGAGTTCTGAGATGTCCTCCTCAGTCCCACACTTTCAACGCTAAATGGGCACTCAAGCTACACAAAAGCACCGAAACAAGGTGAAACATCATGGGCCTGCAGCAACAAGTTGATGTTCTGTCGCAGAGTTCTGCACCTGGCACGCGCAGCAAGTGCAGAACTCTGAACATGGCCTTTCGAAAACTGCGATGGCGGCACTCCTCCAGCACTGTGGATGATTCGTGAAAGTCTGAAAGGCAGCGCCTCGCCCAGAATCCCTTCAGACAATTGGATGTTCGGGCTGGAGACTCGCTGCAAACAAGGCTCTGATGGTCTGCCTTCAAAACTTTCTCGACAAAGTGTTCGTACCTCCAGGCACGCTTACGCCCATCTCTTCTGTTGGCAAACGAAAAGGTGAAGAGGCAACAATCGAAGTCACAGCATTTTCCTTCTGCTGCTTCTGTCTCCAAGACCCTCTCATTTGCAGGGCAGTCTCATCGGCTTTTTGCTGAACCTGAGATAACTTACACACAGCTCTTGAGCCCTCCGACGCTCCTCTTGGCCCAAGGCAGACTTCCTGAAGTCATCGATCTTTATGGCGGTTCGGATTCCTGTGCCTTGCGATTGCACTAGTTGCTGCCTGCGACTCACAAGTGGACCTCACTAAACGACTTGAGAAAAACAACTCCGCTGTGTTGCGGTTCTGCCTTGGGACCTGAAAGAATCTCCTGCCCCCCATGCCTGTCGAGTCACAGGCAAGAGATGAGGGTTTAGGACCCCGGCAGATGCTGGCGGCTTTGACATCTCGCCAAGCCTGGCCGTAAACCAGACACCAAAGGCAACCTGTACTGATTGCCAAATGTTGGGTTCCCCACAACAACCAGCTTTGGTATGTTGACCAAACCTCATATTGTTGCTACACATATAACATAAAAAGCGGGATCTCAAAGGGTGCAGGCTCAAAACGGGCGTCTTCCGCATTGCCCAGTCCCGCCCCTTCCCCCCAAAAAAAAACGAGCACCTCCCGGTAATTCTGTCTCCAGGGTAGGTCCCCGTGCCTGCGAGCCGTGACTCAGGAAAAGAAAGAAGACACGCCCACATCTTGGTGACCGCCAAAAGGCATCATGCAGTCCATGGCGCCGCTTGCACATGTGCCATCGCCTGCGTCTCCAGGTGGGCTTGTTCAAAGCATCCTTCACCTCCCAGGTTTTAGATGTCTGGGTCGCCCGATCCCAAGGAGTCAAAGCTCCCGGCCCCAAGATCCACCGTCTTCTGACCTTGGTCTCAGAAAACCCGCGGCCAAAGACCCTGACGCACCAAGCCCAAGACCCACCACCCACAAGCTGGCCAAGAGGAGCACTGCGAAGCAAGCTGCGCAGCCTCGGATCTGTGAAGGGTCCCCATCAGCCCTTGGATGTCCCGTGCCACTCCAAAGAGGTCGCCCCCAAGAACGCTCCAGTGAAATACCGGCGTCGTGCCGTACCCAAAAAAACATCCCAATCCCCACTAAAATAGGGAGCCCATCAAAGGCGTGGCTGCAAATTCTGCAAAAACTGTGCCGCCGAGCCCATCAACAGCGTATCCGCCTAAGAAAGCACGGCAGAACAGCTCGGAACACGCACCTGTCAAAGCACTAGGATCCAAGCCCCCCTCCTCTAACCCTCCTGATAACCTCCAAACTCGGCCTTCTTAAGGGACTTCAAGAAGCCGAGGGAGGGGGGGGGGGGGGTTGGATCTCCTCGAAAGTCAATTCCAGGAAAGGCACCCATCGTTGCTGTTCACGGACAAGTTCCCGTCTGCTGCGGGCCTAGCTCATGTCAATGAGGTGCAAGAAACAACATATGCGACCAGTTGAGGCGTGCGCAACCAATTGAACAAGGCCGTCCTGCCAGTGTGCAACTCTGGCCAACTCTTGCACATCCGTGACTCTTGTTGATCATTTGCGCCTAAAGGGGCGCCGCCGCCTCAAAAAGGGACCAAAATGACCGTGGGGTCCTTTTGGCCATGGCACAGGTGAGAAAGTCTTCTCTCAGTCCTTCCTGATCTTCGGAGATCGAAGCTTCGGCGAGGCCTCTGACTCCTCAGCACGTGACGCTGCTCCGGGCTTTGAGGAACTGAACCGGTTCGAGTTCATTGGCCCCCTGAAAGTCGAACTTTTCGTGGGACGTGTCATGGATCCCTCTCTCAGAATGGCTGGGAACCGCAAGAGCCAAACCCAACATGGGTACACGGGTTTTTGTACACCTCACTATGCCCCATGTTGCACCAGGCAGGTTGCGAACCTCAAATGGCCCATGGCCATTTTCGTTGGGGGCACAGTGGCGAGTGTCCTACCTTGTATTGGTTGGGCCCTTTGGTCCGTCAGAAATATATATGAAAGCCAGTGTTCCAAGCATTCCAACCATTCACGTGCATAGAGAAGCATGTCCAGGGGTAGAGGGAAATGACACTCACTTCTGACTTTGCGAACCCCACGCCCCACGAACGCCCAAAAACCGCTGGATGGCTTGCAAAAAACAACTGTCGTGCCAGTTTATCAAAGAGCCAAAATGACAGTCGTTCCCCCCTTAGATCTAGTTGGCCTGCTGGTTTAAACTTACCTACCTTTTTCATTTGGGTGCTTCTCAACATTGTGGCCCCCTAAAGCAGTTGGCTTCCATTTAGTTTCCCTTTAGCTACCAACCTTTAATACATCCGCATGTGGTTCAGAAAGGGTGTAATCCACGAAAATCTGAGTGTCACGCACGGGTGGGCGTTCTGCCATTCTCCTGGCAAGGCCATTTCACGCAAAAAACTTTCTCTAAATACACTCGGAAGCCCTCAACTTTAGCCTCGGTGATCCTTTGGCTTCTCTTTATGACCTCTTTCAAGGCTACAACAACAGACACACGCGCTCGAACAGACCAACAAGACTCTAGGCCCAATCTGTCCGGTGATCCTTCCTTCTCGCCATCAAACCGGGCCAAAAAGAGCGCTGGTCAAAAAAGAACGAGAAGCCCAGGTTCGGAAATGAGTCATGGCCACAGCCTCTCGTCCCCAAACTCCGAAGAACCATCGAGCGGACCCGAACACGGCCTCCTGGACTCCCAGCATCAGCGCGCCGAGAAAGCCGCTGGTGCCAGCCAGGGCAAAGCAAATGGCACCAGGGCCCGGCAGGATCTGACAGGCGTTATGGAAACGAAAACCTGAGCCATCAAAACCTATTGAAATGGCACCAAAGTCATGAGCATGAAGAGGACGGCCGAACCTATTCTTGGCTGGGACCGTCCCCTACTAGCCCCATCTACCCAGTTTCATTGTGGCTTGGGTATTGAAAGGCTGTCTGTCTCCCCACTGCCAATTTGGGTGGCCATAAACCAATGGCAAGGGAACGGAAGTCGGCAGTTTCCATTGGACATGTAACCAAAAGACCATCATGACGAACCTTCTTCTGGCAAAGGGAAGTAGACATGCCCATTCACTGCGCCTCCAGGTAATGCGGCGCTATGGCAGCTTCACCACCCGTCAGGTTGTACAGAAGCTCAGAGACCCACGGCCTGAGAGGAGCTGAAGAAACGGATCAAAATGGCGAAGGCTTCCCCAGGAGTTTTGTGTTGATTGAGGGAACACAGCCTGTTGGATATGACCTCAACGAATTCTAAGCGTCTGGACACTGCGGACATCATTTGCATGTCCAGTTGAGCGTCCAGAGAAAGAAACTCACAGCCAGATCCCCGGATGCCTCATGCGCATTCCGCACCAACTTGACAGCGCCATGGAGGTCAGGAAGCACAGCGCCGCATTGCTGGACAAGAGCGCGGCCGCCACGTTCTCCAACCTAAGCCGCATGCGCTCATGCGTGTCGGGCATCATATTTTCTTTCCTGGCATCTTTTGTTTTGCAACGTGGCTTCTTGTGCGGGCGTGTCAGTTTTCGGGCGTATCTTTCTTTGAAGGGCCCTTTCCGAGGCGGCATTGAGGGAGAAGCAGGAAACTTCCATGTTGGCGCTCCATGTTGGGACACACCCAGATCAATCTCCAGTCAACCAAAGCCCCCACCTGAAGGACAACGGGCAGGTGCCTGCAAGAAGCACCCCTGCCTGAGCAATGGATCACGACAATTGCTTCTGCAATTTTCTCTCTCGCGCACTCTCACTCTCTCGCTCTCTCTCCCTCTATCTTTCTCTCTCCCTCTCTCTCTCCCTCTCTGTCTCTCTCGCTCTCTCTCCTTCTCTCTTTCTTTCTCTCTCTCTCTCTCTCACTCTCTCTCTCACTCTCTCTCGCACTCTCTCTCTCTCTCTCTTCCTTCCTTCCTTCCTTCCTTCCTTCCTTCCTTCCTTCCTTCCTTCCTTCCTTCCCTCCCTCCCTCCCTCCCTCCCTCCCTCCCTCCCCTTCCTTCCTTCCTTCCCTTCCTTCCTTCCTTCCTTCCTTCCTTCCTTCCCTCCCTCCCTCCCTCCCTCCCTCCCTTCCCTCCTTCCTTCCTTCCTTCCTTCCTTCCTTCCTTCCTTTCCTTCCTTCCTTCCTTCCTTCCTTCCTTCCTTCCTTCCTTCCTTCCTTCCTTCCTTCCTTCCTTCCTTCCTTCCTTCCTTCCTTCCTTCCTTCCTTCCTTCCTTCCTCTTGGTTGGTTGTGTTTCCTGATTTATGTAATCGTCTTTAATGCTGTGTGTTGTTCTGTTCCTGTCTTCACTGTTTGTACTGCTGTGTTTTTATTTATGCCTTTCTGCAGTTACTGTTTGGTCTTGATTGATCGGTTTATTGATTGAGTTTGTTTCGTTGATCCTTCTTCATTCCTTCTTGATTTATTTATTTATTTATTTCTCTATTTATTTATTTCTTTCTTTCTTTCTTTCTTTCTTTCTTTCTGTCTTTCTTTATTTCTTTATTTATTTCCTTCGTTGTTTCTTTATTTCTTTCTTTCTTTCTTTCTTTCTTTCTTTCTTTATTTCTTTATTTATTTATTTCTTTCTTTCTTTCTTTCTTTCTTTCTTTCTTTCTTTCTTTCTTTCTTTCTTTCTTTCTTTCTTTCTTTCTTTCTTTCTTTCTTTCTTTCTTTCTTTCTTTCTTTCTTTCTTTCTTTCTTTCTTTCTTTCTTTCTTTCTTTCTTTCTTTCTTTCTTTCTTTCTTTCTTTCTTTCTTTCTTTCTTTCTTTCTTCTCTTTCTCTCTTTCTCTCTTTCTTTCCTTTTTCCTTCCTTCCTTCCTTCCTTCCTTCCTTCCTTCCTTCCTTCCTTCCTTCCTTCCTTCCTTCCTTCCTTCCTTCCTTCCTTCCTTCCTTCCTTCCTTCCTTCCTTCCTTCCTTCCTTCCTTCCTTCCTTCCTTCCTTATTGTGTTTCCTTGTATCCTTTCTTCCTTTGTTGTGTGTTTCCTGAGTTATGCAATGCGTTTAGCTGCTTTCTCTTCTGCTCCTGATCCTTTCTGTTTATTTGTTTAGGAATTGGTATGTCCATGTATGTCATGGTTTAATGATATGTTAATGTGTGTCTGTCTTAATGTTTATCTATTGTCATTGGTCGATTGATTTATTGACTCAGCTCTGCTTTCTGCTTTGTTTATGTTTCTTGTATACTTCGTTCGCTAGAGTGTTTCTTTCTTTGCTTGTGTATTTTATGTCTTATGGTTTTAGTTATTTAATTAACTATTTATTTCTTTATTTCTTTGTCTATTCCTTTTCTTTCTTTATTTCTTTCTTTCTTTCTTTCTTTCTTTCTTTTCTTTCTTTCTTTCTTCCTTCCTTTCTTTCTTTCGTTATTTATTTACTTCTTTCTGTATGTCTCTCTTTCTGTATTTATGTCTTTCTCCGTTTTTATATATATATATATATATATATATTTGTTTGTTTATTTACTTCTTTCCGTATGTCTCTCTTTCTTTATATCTTTATTTCTTTATTTCTTTCTTTGTTCTTTCTTTCTTTCCTTCCTTCCTTCCTTCCTTCTTTCTTTCTTTCTTTCTTTCTTTCTTTCTTTCTTTCTTTCTTTCTTTCTTTCTTTCTTTCTTTCTTTCTTTCTTTCTTTCTTTCTTTCTTTCTTTCTTTCTTTCTTTCTTTCTTTCTTTCTTTCTTTCTTTCTTTCTTTCTTTCTTTCTTTCTTTCTTTCTTTCTTTCTTTCTTTCTTTCTTTCTTTCTTTCTTTCTGTCTGTCTTTCTTTCTTTCTTTCTTTCTTTCTTTCTCTCTTTCTGCCTTTCTTTACTTTTCCTTCCTTCCTTTACTTTTCCTTCCTTCCTTTACTTTTCCTTCCTTCCTTCCTTCCTTCCTTCCTTTCTTCCTTCCTTCCTTCCTTCCTTCCTTGCTTCCTTTCTTTCTTTCTTTCTTTCATTCTTTCATTCTTTCTTTCTTTATTTCTTTGTATTTCTTAGTTGTTTCTTGTTTTTTGTTCTCTCTCTTTCTCTTTCTCTCTCTCTCTCTCTCTACTTGCTTGTTTTTCTCCTTTTCTCGCTCTCTCTCTCTCTCTCTCTTTCTCTCTCGCTCTCTCTCGCTTGCTCTCTTGGTGCCCGCAACACGGCCGGCCAGAAAATTGCCCGCGCAACCGGACTGCGGGCTGAGATTGCTGCTGCTGCCATAGACATCAAAAGGGCAGCGCCTCAGAGGTCAGGTTTTTGGCTGAAATCAGCGTTCAGGCACAATGACCATATGAATCCGGGGTGTGTCCAAAAACTGGCAAAGGACCCCCCTAAAAACAGCGAGAAAGGAGAAAAAAAAAACAAGGGGTGTCCCTGTTGCAGAAAACACCCAACCGGGATGCGTCGAAACTGTTCCAAGATCCACTCCGCAGTAGCGCGACAAGACCCGGCCATTGAAAGGATGGGTGTCCGCCTCCTGCGTCCCAACTTCCGAGCCATTCAGGGGTTAATATGTCGTCAAAGGGAAGAAATATGGCTCCTATTGGGGTTCCTTCTCGACCAACCGGGAAAAAGTATTTTTTTTTAAAAAAGAAGCCACCCAACTAGAGCTTTGTGCTCCGGGTCATTGTTCCAACTTGCATTGATCCAGCACGTGTCTTTCCACTGAACTCAGCGGTTTGCATGCACTAGAATTGTTACCTTCAAGTTCTGTCCCACCAAACAACATGCTTTGATGCACCGTCCACCCAATTTTGGACTACTTTCCTGTTGAAAAGCAGGTCTGTGGAGTTCCATCCATGTGTTGGTGCAAGGGTATGGATGCGTCTTAAAATGAGGGAACCCTCCAACAGGATTAGCATCCTTCTTCTTTTACTCTCCAAAAAAGAGAAAACCTGAGCCACTTTTGAGCCACTCTCTGCTAAAAAGGGATTCCCAATTTTAAGGAGGCCGGCTGCCCCCCTTTTCACTCCTGCGCTGCGCTCCGCAGCTGCTGCAGCGGGACCTTCATGGCCAGCGGCGGCGGCGCCTACCGCTCTGTCGGTCCCAAAAGCCACAAGGATCGGCTCGAGCGGGAGAGCCACAAGCGATCCCGCAAGCCACTCCCAGACAGATTGGAAGAGGAAAGCCATCCTCTAGGCCACGAAATGTCCACTTCTGTTGGTGGAAAAAGGATAAACTCTTGCTAGGGTATCCATGATAGATAGCCCTGAGGGTGGGAAATCAAAGGACACATCGCTGTTTGGGGTTCCATCTTTAAATTGCCTTGCGTCATTGCCCAAGGAAAAATTGAAGGAACCATCTAAGATCCAAGCGTTCTCATGCATCTGTGTGGAGGCTTTCTTCGAAGGAGTATTAAAACTTTACTAGATAACCGATAACCCTTTGGTGGACATGAGATAGGTAGGGATTCATGTCCACCAACCACTTCTGAGGTGGATCCCTATTCTAACATATGGCCATATTGGGTCTGACTTTTGTCTGTGGCTTGGCTCCTTCTCCCAGGGGTGCATAGGATCCGGCTGCAGCTTCGCCACCAAATCTGCCGACCTGGAAAAACGAAAGATGCTCCCATGCCAAGAAAGCAGGCAGAGCTCCCGGCCGGAGTCCAAACATGCAGCGCACGTCATGTTCGGAAAGCGGCGGTCGTGCCCGCACCCTCGCGGAACGGACAGTGTGGCGTGCTGGAACGTCGACAACTTTGGAATCATCCCCCCGCCTCACCCAGTCCTCCCATGTCCAGCTCAAAGAACCAAAGAGAGCGGAAGCTATGCTGAACCTGTCAGACACAAACGTTGACTTGCGCAGCATCATGAGTTGAGGCCCTGTCAAAAGCGGCCAAGCCAAGCGCGGATGGGACATGCCAACTGTGCATTGAGCCACTTGCTTGGAGTTCTTGGTTTGTCGGCTACTCTTGCTGTAATGCGGATACGCACTCAATGAAATGTGAATTAATATGGTTTAGAAAGACCATTGAAACGCCAAAAGTGCAAACTAATGATATCCTGGAAGCCAAATTGCTGCGCTGTGAATTGGCTGTGTGCGCAAGTATGTTTCACCTACATCCCAGATTGGCATGGCCAACGCTCAACTCCAGCAGCTGCCAGCTGCATGGTCACTCTGCAATCTTGGCAGGCACCATTGCGGCCTCGCACAACCACATTGCAAACTGAGCGCACGACAAAACAGACGTGCAAGGCACGCCCCATGCAAAATTGAGCTCCTTGCGTCCATGTCCTCCTGGCACAAACAAAAGGATCATGAGTCTCAGGTGAGTCCAAATGCGCGCGCCTCCATTGCGCCGTCGGGACGGGAACTCTATAATTATGGCAGTATGTTACTCTCGACAAAAGAGATCGTCAATGAGCGGAGTAACATTGGGAAAAACGAATGCGGCTGTCCTGCACTCTGCGGAATGCGTTGGCTTGCACGACCGAGTCCCTGCAAACCAGCTTGCACCTTGTTAAGACGTTCTTGCACGCATACTCCGAATCCAAACTGAAGGCACGAGCGAGGGCCACGAAGCAGGGCGTACAACACACAGGCAAAGCAATGTGGCTTGGCAAAAATACGAATGCCGGATTCACAAAGAACGTTAAAGGTCTACGAGGCAAGAACTGATGGCGTGTTGCCTTCAAGCATGTTTCATGCAAAAGAGCAACCATTTGATGCAAACAAGGCCACCACAAACTATGGAGAAAGCATAATGTTCAGACCGCCCCAATTTTGAATGCGGACTGTATGAGAGAATGCCAGGTGACAGCACATTGACAACGTTCGACACGCAAAGTCCGCCATTTGCATCCTGCACTGCGTATCTGTCCAAGCTGGAACATAACAAAATGCATCCAGGACAAGGAGTTTGAAAAAGATGTCGGCGCTATAAAACACACCGGACAAAGTGTGTAATGCTTGTAAGGTTGGACAAGCAGTCCGGCGCAGAAAAAATATGGCGTCTGTGAAACACAATTCAGGCAGGTTTGAAGCCATCCCGGCCATCCGAGAATGAACACCGACACATGATGTGGCAGGTGATTGGAATTGTATCCAGAAAACATGGCATAAATGAAACGTGTGCTGGCAAAATCGTCATGTCTTCAACCTGTCTATCGAAGACAAAGTCTGCCTTGTTTGAGCAGGGTCAACGATCTTCCCCATGCCTCTAAAAAATCAGGCTGGCACATGGTGCTACGATCTGTTTGAATGCAAGCACATAGAAAGTCAAAATGAACATCAGAAGCTGAAATGGATACCTAAACAGCACAAATAATTTCCGACGGAAAGGAAGCCCATCGTATGCCTGGGCACCGCCACACACGCTGCCTTGCAACCATCCAAATCAAGATGCAGCTTCAAGGAGTTGCTATGCATTGCGTTATGGTCCGGTGAAAACATAACAATCGAACCAAGTCCAATCTAAATTGCTCTTGTGACTTCTTTTGGTCAGAACCACGTGCAAAAGCGCTCGGCTGAGTTTTTCAAGTCGCAATGGTCTGCCACGTCGTTCACCATGAATTGCAGGCAAATGGTCCCAAAAATCATAAGATGCAGTTGCAGGTCTTGTCAACCTGTCAACCTCATCTTGGCCTATGAATGGTCTCGGCCCAAAAGGCTATGCAATGAGTGCACTACCTGGAGGAAAGCTGCAAGGCAACTGCCATATGCAATTGTTCCATCCGTCTCAGAAGGCAATCATTGCCTTCATCAGAAAAGCCAAAAGCACGAAGAAGCCACCAACGCCCACGACGTACTGCATCGGCCCAGGCAGAAATGGCAGCCAGGCCCTTCTCACGGCTTCGAGCCGCACATGTTCGGGATGTTCTCGTGACAAAACATCTCCTCCTTGTCCTGAACGCGGCCACACCCGCGACTCACCGGGTTTATTGTTTTACCATGATCAAAGTCATCCCCTAAGTGGTGGGTTAAAGGGAAACAGCCCCATTTTCTGACTTTGATCACCCCCAGAACCAGTCAAAAGAATGACCCCTGACTCATGGGCGGACTTGCTCCGAATGCCAAGGGGCGCAGTGGCCGAAGGTCTTGCAGATCAGCTCAAAGTCTGCCGCATAAACCTGCACGGAACCCCAATAATGACCCCAGGCTCTGGCTCCCACTCAAAGAACCTCGAGGGATGACTTGTTTGCCTTTGGTCAAGAATATGCCAGAAGGGTTGCAGTCGCCTTGCTGTTATCTCACGGCTACGAATACTCCAATCTTCGCAGGATGCACTTGGCGGACAAAAGCGAACTAGCAAATGCAGCGTGCAATTACCTCTCAGTTTCCAATGACTGACGAGCTGCCTGTGCTCAAGAAATATTTGCTTTGCCACCTCAAAATTTGAGGTGGCAAGAGTAGCACTTTGCCGCGAAAGGACCTTTCAAGCCAAAAGCTGGAGCTGATCATTTTATTGCTCCCCAATCCCCAAGCCTGTCTGATGAGCTGCTTTGTCTCCTCATTCAGCGAGTACGCAGAGATGTCGTTGCACCAAACGTTGTGCAACGGCATGGTCATGCCTCCCAGCCATCAAGCCCGAAAGCTTCGCATAATTCACAACTTTCAACTAACATACTCCGACACGTCATCGTCTTTCCTCTTGGTGGCGAAGTAAACAGCCAACACAATTGCCTGCGCGGGGTTCGTATCGGGCCAAGCGGCGTGGCTTGGCTTTGTGGGACTCCATGTACCGATCGAAACTATCCTAGGTGCACCGATGCTCACGGAGCCAACCCCACACTCCATCAAAAGTCACTCGAAGCCATTGGGTGCAGATTGTGCTTTGACAATCAACCCATGGTCCCTTCAAAGGGAAACCAAATGCTTTCGAGACATGGCTCAACCAGGTTAAGCGGCCCAACCCTGCTAGCCGTGTTCGCAAGCCCATCTGCGCCAAGCCGCAGGGATGAAGCGCTCATCAATCCACTCAACCGGCCCATAGGGAGTCGACGCAAACTCTGACGACGGCAGGAGATGGCAGTTACCCCTGACAGGGTTCCGGTAGCCAAAAACATGGTTCTAGTTTCAAGAGATCGCTTCAGGTCCCACAAATGGAATCAACTCAACTGGAACCGGCAAAGCCAAGTTGCCCGACCCTGCCTGAAGCGGTCCCCGGCCAAATACTTCCGCAGCCTTGTTTGGGTACACGGATTCGGCCACGGCTCCCACGACTGACCCAAGCTGGGCCAAGAGGCTCTACCTGCAGGTAGCCGTTAACGTCACATTCTCGGTAGAAGCGCTGATACTCTTCCTGGATCCGCGTGAATTCAATTGATTTCAGTGATGTCTTGCCAAGGCACCCCTTCTCGCTCCAAATTTCCTGCCCACAAGATCCCCCCACCAAACCCTAACCCCCCCTAACAGCGCGCATCACCCCGCCTTCTCGTGCAGAGATGTCAGACCGAGTTAGCAACAAATATGCGGAGTCTGTGTTTCCAACCTGCCTCGGGCCACAACTGCCATTCTGAGACCGTGTAGATGCTCGCTGGCAGCTTCGGCTTGAAACAGTCGCAAGCTCGTCACCGTGGCGACTTGCGACACATGGCAACCGTTGACTCTCACTGCCCATTCCTGGCAACCATTGCTGTCTCCGGCTGCCGGGGTGCATGCGGAACTCGTTCGCCAAGCGATCATACGGATCCTGGGCCGCCGAAAGGAAGCGGCCGAGCTCGGCTCGCAGCTTCTGCCAGGCGGCTCTCAGCATGGAGAAAAGCGTCTGATTCCGCAGAAGCTCGGCGGTCTCACTGGGCCAGTACTTGGGGGGCGTGTAAAACCTGAGCGACTTGTGGCGCCCTTCGACCAAACCTCCAGCCCTTCGTCAATTCGAGGCGTCGACAGGTTGCAGCCTGTGATCTTAGAGATGCCCTGAAGCCCGGGGTGGAGCTCCCCCCACCTCGCGGCATCATGCCCCTCCAGATTCAGGAGGGCAGCCTAGGTGAGAGCCAGGCTGTCAACCAGCCAAGCCGGGGGTCTGGGGCCCAGACCAAAAGCCCGCCTCGTTTCCGCGAACATGGGAATGCGCCGCAAAAAGACGAAGCGGATGCGCAGAAATAGTGCGATGCTGATGTGGGTTTGGACCCGTTTCGGTGCCGCCCAAGCTGTAGAGGGAGTACCAAAAAGAAACTGCGAAGTGAGCCACATCCCGTTCCCGCTTGCATTCAGGCCGCCAGCACCAGCCTCTTCGACTGTGTGTCCAAATGTGCATGGGATGTGGATAAACCTCGGGTCGATCTCACGCCCAGGAGGCGATGTGCAAGACTCAAGACAAGGCGCTGCAAGTTTGCGCCGCCCACAGAGTCCTTTGGGCCATACGCAGAAAACCACTTCATCTGGACATGGAAGACCCATGTCCGCACGGCTCACCACATGCGCGGCCTCGGCCGCTGTTTCGTTGACGGCCTAGGCGAATCTTGAGCAAACTGAAAACCGCACAAACCGGAGGCGACTATGGATCTGAGCTCGCCGGCTTCCCGCTCCTGCATGCGCAACTCTCTGGATGTCCTTGCACTGCACGGGTCACTTCGTGAGCCGTCGAATGGAACTGCTAATCACAACACTCAATTCCAGCAATTCTAAGCCGCGATTCACTTGAAGAAGCTGATGTCCCTGCCGCTCCTGTCCACGAGCGATCCTTTGGAACCCGCGTTGGTGCCAAAACAGCTACCATTTGCAAAATCTTAATTCCTGGAAAAGAATGTGAACCCTCATCAACCCTGGCCATTGTTTCATCCATCCAGGTGACCGCAACAGCCTCAGGAATTTGCTAATGCGCTTTGCTGTCGTTCTTGGGGTTCACCATTCAAACATCGGCGCTCACATCAACCCGCGACCTCTGCAGCGGCACTAGCAGCTACAGCATCGCAAAGTCGGCTGCTGGGAGTCCCCTGCGTGTCGATCGATGCGGGGCCAAGCATGTCGATTGAGCGGCCTCTGAAAACACCGGCACCACACATATGAGAGTGGCCAGAGCAGCCGTGAATCGAACCTTGGGCCGTCTAGTTCCCTTTGACCAAATCGGCACTTGGGGCCACGCCGACATCGCCCAGGAGTGGGGTTTCCCTGAGCCGAAGCAGCCTGCAGACGCACAAAGGATCTCATGATGACAGCATCCATGTCCCCCCATTTGCAAAAGCAGCACCGGTTGCAGTTCATTGGCAGGCAAAGTCAAGAAAGGAAAAAGGTTTGGCCATGGCCAAAGCCAAGCTCAATATATCTGCAATTGAACATTCATCACTCCCAATACTCTGTTTGTCACCATTGGCTCACGAAAGCATCACCCATGACTTCTCTGGTTATCTCTGAACAAGTTCCATTCTTCGAAATTGTTTTCACTACCTAAGAGTTGATTCAAAGCAAAAGGGCAGAAAAGATCAATCCCATTGCAGCTGTTCCATTAAGACGGCCCAGCAAAAGTACGTGGATCTGTAGGGCTGAGAAAAAAGGCGCGGCCCAAAAGTGATTGCGTAGCTTGCAATAGGCGAGTTGTTTGCATCAGTTTTGGTGCCAAGGTTTTGGGTGCTCCTGTTACAACGCCCAGTTGCTGTTTGCTTTTTGGTTTGCGCAGCAGTGGCATTTTGGTATATAATTGGTACCTGAGAAAGGTTTGCTATGAATCCAAGGTGTTTTTGTTCCTGCTGGAACACTGGAAACAAGAACCAAAAATTGCAATACTGGCCGGACAGCTACCCTACATACGAGGAAAGCATGGCAGCATGGCATAGAGAATGCTGTTCGGAGAAGCCAACAATCAACAAGCCAAACCACCACGCAACCAATCAGCCAGCAAACGAGCAACAAGTCACCCAAGCAACCAAGAACGCATTAAGCCAATCAAAACAATACTCCTGTTCGCCTGCCGTGGTGTACATGTCCAAGGCCGACAACGTCTACGACCCCCTGCGCGGCAGCTTCGTGGGGGGCACCCGGAGAACGGCCAAGATGTACTTCACCGTGCCCAGTCAGTCAGTCGGTCGGTCGGTCGGTCAGTCAGTCAGTCAGTCAGTCAGTCACTCAGTCATTCAGTCAGTCACTCGTTCCCTAACTCACTCACTCACTCACTCACTCACTCACTCACTCACTCACTCACTCACTCACTCACTCTCACTCACTCACTCACTCACTCACTCACTCACTCGCTCGCTCACTCACTCACTCACTCACTCACTCACTCACTCACTCACTCACTCACTCACTCACTGTCACTCACTCACTCACTCACTCACTCACTCACTCACTCACTCACTCACTCACTCACTCACTCACTCACTCACTCACTCACTCACTCACTCACTCACTCACTCACTCACTCACTCACTCACTCACTCACTCACTCACGCAGTCACGCACTCAAGCACTCACGCACTCACGCACTCACGCACTCACGCACTCACGCGCTCACGCGCTCACGCACTCACGCACTCACGCACTCACGCACTCACGCAGCACTCACGCAGCACTCACGCAGCACTCACGCACTCACGCACTCCCACACTCCCTCACTTGCTTCACTCACTCCCTCACTCCCTCACTCCCTCACTCCCTCACTCTCACTCCCTCACTCCCTGACTCCCTCACTCCCTCACTCCCTCACTCCCTCACTCACTCCCACTCACTCACTCACACTCCCTCCCACTCACTCACTCACTCACTCGCTCCCTCGCTCCCTTGCTCCCTCGCTCCCTTGCCCCCTCCCTCACTCGCTCCCTCGCTCCCTTTCGGACAACCAAAAACGCGTTCTCCGCGCTGGCAACACCGCAAAGCTGGTTCAGCGCCGCCACAATCTTCTTCCCCTTGCTGCAGAATTCCCTCCAACCAAGCATGCATTCGTCAGCAGAAAGTTGTCCGAAAATCTTACTGATAAACTCCAACGCAACCCTCATGGATTGCCCTTCTCCTTTCATCATTCCGCGGCACTTGGCAGAGTAGTACGCTGAGTAGGCGTAGATGACGGGGACGCCGATGTCCTCGATCCACTTTATGCATGTACCCAGGTCGCTGCCCATTTCCATTCTCTTGGGAATTCTTTTGCCCTCCTCGATGGCGTTCTTCACGAGGTTCCCCAAGAATATTGCCGCTTGCCTGGATTTCCCAACAGGCACGCAGAAGAATTCATTCGTATTGACGACGGTCGCATTGGCAGTCATCTTGATGATATTCTCCAGAACCGGGAAAACCCAAAATAGGCAGCTGCAAATAAAGCCACAGAATAGTCCCAATAAGCGCCCAGCTTCTAATTGAGATGCGGGATGGCCCAACTCCTCTTCGAAACTTGAGGTTCGGGACTAGCCCAGTCCCCCGTTGGAACCTGAGGTTCGGGACTAGCCCAGCTCCTCGTCAGCAGCTTGATGCTTCCGCGAATTCCCTTGCGTAATGCAAGCAAGAGCGAGTTTCAATGGTGCCGGCTGAAGGCACTTTGCTCGAGCACGAAAACGACGGAGGATCACACCTACAATTAACGACGTGTACAACTGGGTTTCCTTGGTTTCCCGACCGGCACAAGGTCCATGCTCATGGTTTCCATTACACTTCTTAGACAACGAACTGCCAAGGTCAAAGTTCCACAAAACAACTCTCCATGGTTTCTTGATTGGCATGGGTTTCTTCGCATACCTTTGCCTCAAGCCATAGCGACACCCATCAAACTCATGACTAATGCCATCATCATCATGAACAACCTCATGCAGTCTCTCATCCTTCCAATAATCGCAACTTCCAGGCAACTCAAACAAAATCGCAGCGCGTTTCGTCATGGCATGCCGTTTGATTTCAACGAACCGTTCAAACAATTTCCAAAATTCCTTCTGTTTGGCCTCGATTTTCTCTGCGGTGTCAACTCCGCGAGTCTTGTTGAGGCGTGCCCATGATGATCCCCCCGTGCAAGGCCCGGCGAAGAACAACAAATCGGAAGGTTTAGTAAGCACATGTCTAGCGATTCTCCCCCCGTACTCAGTAAGTCATCGACCAAAGTGATGGTCACGACCTGCGGCCCGTTATGTCGGGCAAGGGCAGTGAACCAGTTACGCGGTTCGGAACATGCCATCAGCACAATAGGCCGAGCCAAGTCAACACTGTACAATGCGACGACTGTGCGAGTTCTCATACCAGGAAGCGAGACATGCACCGGAGCGCGAAGCACACCACCGTCATGGTTAACCATCGCGAGCTCAATACCCGGCGCTAACTGTGGTTTGTGCTTCACCGCAATGCGATATGGAACAAAACAACGACCAGGAACAAGTTGCTCATGACTGGTATGCAGACAACGCATAAGCAGCTTCAACCGGAGCAAAGTTTCCAAGGCAAGGTCATTGACACATTTTAATTCAATGCGCTCGTTCGACAGCTCTTCAACGAACGCGGCCAGCACGGACTGCATGTCAACATCCCCGGACCCGACATGAATTGGTCGTTGTCGTGGAGATTGCTCCCGCGCCGGTACAGCAACCGGTACGATGAAACTGCGCGTTCAACCCATCCATCAATCCGCTCACACTGTAACCCAGGGTCAACCCTGTCCTCAACCTTGAGCCATGACCCGTTCCTCAGAAACCAAGTGGAACGAAGCCACTTGCTCCCGAATGGTGTCACAACCGCGAGTGGAGGTTTCACACGCATCAATCTGGGTCCTTTAGCAACGACAACCGGATCATGTCCTTCATGCTCATGCAATCCTTCTTTGGATGTGAATCCGGACCACCACAGGTCCGGGGGCATGATCGGAATGTGTGTGTGTACGGAAACGTGGGAACTCCGTCAACCGTTCCCGAAGCAGTCTGCATGGTCCCTTTTATGGGATCACACGTAGGTGTGAGCGCCTTGAGGGTATCCGGGTTAGACAGCAAGCTCGGGTCGAGTAGACCAATCTGCAAACATGCATGTTTCCATTTGCGTCCATCATTGAACGCCTTGGTGTAGATGTCAGCCGCCATTCTGTCGGTGACCTCATACGCCAAATACATGTAATCACGTGTGAACATCTCATGCATCCACGAAATGCAAACACCATGGCTTCTCTCAAGGTGGCGCATCGTGGGGTTTCTCCCCGATCGCACGACACAATCATAGCCTTATTATCGTCATAGAACACAAAGTTTGGTGACTTCTTGAGAATCCGCTGCAACAACTTCAGAGCAGGCATACCCATGGCTCTCATGGCAACATCGGCCGCAACTATTTCGGCCTCAGGAGTTGAGTGACTCACACAACCCTGTCTTTTCGAGCTGCCAGACAACGGAAACCGAGTATTAGTCAGCGTCCGCATACAAGGCCAAGCGCACATCATCCATGGAGTCTCCGACCCAACCGACCATGCGCCAATGTTCCGTATGATGCACGTGCACATCAAATGATGCAAACCCCGATCATCGGAGTCAGTCCACCTGTGCACATTCCGTGCCAGGCGATTCACTTGCCGCAACAAATCAAAGCGGCAATCCGCGCACCGTACAGCAACTCGGCATGCGGAGCAAGGTGTCCACGCACGGGCTCCTTCATGGCCAACTCAGGAGTCCCTCCTCGCTGGTCCGGCGCTGTAGCAGAACCGTCGGTGGGCACAAGATTGTTACACCAATTGCACACGACTGACGGCCCCTCTTTGGCAGGCTTCCGTGAGACCAGGATTGCCCCCATCATGCGCAGGCAACAGGGTTGCCCCCGTCAATCCTGCGCTGGGCACAGGCTGTCCCGACGCAGCACCAGCAGCTCAGGCTTGGAACTGTTCTTGCCCGAGCTCGCTCGCGATGGAGTCGGCCCTGCTGTATAGCTCTCGGGCCTCAGGCACGTCACGGTGCTGCACTCGCCGTTATAGAGGTTACACGGTGTAATAGCTGTTACAGGAAGGTTCAGATCCTAAGGTCTTGATGTTATGCTTTTATTAGTGTTGGAAGGACAGAGATTCTTTGGAAGTAAATGGTTTTCTTCATGTCTATTTCCTATGTCTCAGAGAATCCTATCTTTCATGGCATTCCAGATTCTTTGTTGGTTGCCTCGCTGTCAAGTCTCTGAAATAACAGCGGCTACGCGTGAAATCTCTTGATTAGGCTTATGTCCTGGCTTTTCTATTTCCCTGTAATAACAGCCAGGAAAAGAGAATCTGGAA